TAACCTGTAAAATCGGTATACCTAGTTGACATTACGTAGAAGAAATAATCCGACGACGGAATCTATAAACAGTAAGTAAATACTTAAATATATAATAAATATATAATGTAGATAAATATATAATAAATATATAATGTAGAATGACATAAAAGAAGTATTTAGAATGTTATCCAAACAGCACAAAATATCCGAAAGACATCCTGGGAAGGCTCTTGGACGTTTTTTCGGAAGGATTTGTTGTATGGGTATCCAACACAAAACAGTTTTTAAAAAAAATAGGATTGTTCAATAAAACATAAAATGCTATAAGTGCGAAAACATGACCATAAATTGATCTATGTTATTTAATCCAGCCATGTTGTCCGCCATCTTACACTGCTCTAACTTGCTCTTACCCGTTCTTTTCAGACCCATATGTATCTTTGCACTAGTCTGCATTATCTTGAACTTTCTTCAACTAGTACAGTTCCAGTGCAGCCCTAGGTCAGGTCGAAAGAACAAACCTAATGCTTGCCGCGCGGTGGAAGTCCGCGCGACAGCCAATCAATATGTTGTTTTTCCGTAAGAGCTAGAAGGTTATTACGAAAAGCAGCATATTAATTGGCTGTCGCGCGAACTTCCGCCGCGCGGCAAACATTATCGCATCCTGTGTGCAGGAGCCATGAGTACAGGCCTGGAACTATATATATATATAGAGAGAGAGAGAGAGAGAGACTACCTGATATCCAATATCCAATAAAAGAATAGCTTCTTGATGGAGAATTGAATTTTCTATTAGAAAACTTCTCCTATTGGATATCGGACGTCGAATATTAGATGCAGTGTAAATTTTCCATAAGAGAATATTCCTATTGGACAAGATGGATGCGTTTCGAAAGACACAGAAAAGAACTGGATAACCTTCTGGACGCTCATTGTATAATGCGAATCCGTCCCGCCATCTCCAAACACTGATTGCAATTTTTTTAGACATACTGGGAATTTATATATTCGCAAATATATATAATTTTTCAATAATTGATTTCAAAGTTATGACATCGCAGCAATCCTTTGGCTAATCTATTTAAATTTATCAACGCGATTCTTTTTAGTGTAGATAGTATAGAGTTAGCCATTTATAGGTTGAAATGTAGGTTATGTTTTAGAGAAATATAGTATGATAGTTTTATACGTTTGAAATCTATAAAGAACGAGAGAATGATATAAAAATTGATGATTCTACTTATCTGTAGTGCAATTTATTTATAATTAATTACTGCAAGTAACACAAAATGACATCTATTATAAAACTTCACGCAATTTCTGGAGCAATGGATGAGTCTCCACCTTGCTACATATTGCAAGTGGATGAACTGAGAATATTATTAGATTGTGGGTGGGATGAAAACTTTGATCAGGATTTTATAAAAGAATTAAAGAGGTATAGTATTTATTAAGCGGCTTCATACTGTCCAAGTATAATATATATTTTTTTATTTATATTTACTACATTACTATGTTTTATGTAGACATGTCAATCAAATAGATGCAGTATTACTTTCGTATCCAGATCCATTACATCTGGGTGCATTGCCATATTTAGTAGGTAAATGTGGTCTGAATTGTCCTATATATGCTACCATACCAGTCTACAAAATGGGCCAAATGTTCATGTATGACATGTACCAGGTATAATTCTTTAATATGTGCTAATGTATGCTGTATTAATTTTAAATTGATACCAATATTTGACACACTGCTAATTTCAGTCCCGTCACAACATGGAAGATTTTGATTTATTTACATTAGATGATGTTGATGCTGCATTTGACAAAATAGTACAGTTGAAATACAATCAAAGCATATCAATGAAAGGTAAAGGCTATGGTGTTACGTTGACACCATTACCAGCAGGACATATGATTGGTGGTACAATCTGGAAAATTGTCAAAGTAGGAGAAGAAGATATAATATATGCTGTAGATTTCAATCATAAGAAGGAACGTCATTTGAATGGTTGCGAATTAGAGAGGTTGCAAAGACCATCATTGTTAATAACAGATGCATTTAATGCTACATATCAGCAAGCGCGACGAAGAACAAGGGATGAGAAGCTGATGAGTATGTGTTATATGTTTCCTCTTAAAATTGAAACATTGATATTTAGTCAAGGATATGTTTTAACAATTTATTTGTGAATTTCGTTGTTTAGCTAATATCTTGCAGACATTGAGAGGTGGTGGCAATGTATTGGTCAGTGTAGATACCGCTGGCCGTGTACTAGAATTAGCACATATGTTAGATCAACTATGGCGCAATAAGGAGTCAGGATTGCTCGCTTACTCACTAGCCCTTCTTAACAATGTGAGTTATAATGTAGTGGAATTTGCAAAGTCGCAAATCGAATGGATGAGTGATAAATTAATGAGGAGTTTTGAAGGTGCACGCAACAATCCATTCCAATTCAAACATCTACAACTTTGCCATAGTATGGCAGAACTGAATCAAGTTCCAAGTCCAAAGGTAAATTGGAATTTCTTATAATTTATATTAGATGTAATTTTTATTTGGTATACATTAATTTCAAATATTATTTAGGTAGTACTTGCCAGCACTCCAGATATGGAGTGCGGATTTTCCCGAGAATTATTCCTCCAATGGTGCACCAATCCACAAAATAGCATTATATTAACAAGTAGAACATCACCGGGTACGCTTGCTAGAGACCTAGTAGAGAAAGGTGGAAATCGAAATATCACATTGGAAGTAAAGAGACGAGTGAAACTCGAGGGTGTCGAACTGGAGGAATATCAGAAGAGAGAGAAACTGAAGCAGGAACAATTGAAACAAGAACAAATGTATGTATACATATTCACCTACTGTTCAGTTATAGTTACAGTTTTCTCACCAAGTTTGTTTATATGTTTGATTAGGGAGATTGCAGACGTGAGTTCCGAATCAGAAGACGAGATAGAAGTAGGTGGTGCCAGAGGGAAACACGATTTATTGGTGAAGCAAGAGAGCAAACCCGGCTTCTTCAAGCAAAGTAAAAAGCAACATCCCATGTTTCCATTTGTCGAGGAGAAGATTAAGATAGATGAATACGGAGAAATTATAAAGTAAGAATACTTCCGTATATCACAAAATAATTTAGTAATGAATAAATTTTAATATTTTTACAATTGTTTTTACAAATATTTTTACAATTTTTTACAATTGTGCGTTTAGTATTATATGCTTTGTTAATCTTCTCACTTTACTATTTATTCTAGATCAGAAGATTACAAAATAGCAGAGACATTACCTGAAATTGAGGATAATAAGGAGAATGTAGAAATGAAGCAGGAAGAAACCAGCCATTATCCAGAGATAGCCGCGGACATTCCGACCAAATGTATCCAAGTTTCGCGTACGATGACTGTCAACGCTGCGGTAACTTATATCGACTTCGAAGGCAGATCCGATGGGGAATCTTTGCAGAAGATTTTGGCGCAATTAAGACCTAGGAGAGTGGTTTTAGTCAGAGGCTTGTTCAAAGATACAGATATATTAGCACAGCAAGCGCAAAGCGCAGGGGCAAGAGTGTTTATTCCCGCTAGAGGAGAGACGTTGGATGCCACGACAGAAACACATATTTATCAGGTGCACATATTTATGTGCGCATACTGTTATTAGCTAATAATTCAAGATTTATTGAAGAACAAATTGTTGAAATATGCATTTTTTCGTCACAGGTACGTTTGACCGATGCTCTAGTTAGCGGACTGAATTTCTCAAGAGGTAAAGGCGATTCCGAAGTGGCTTGGATAGATGCAATGATAACGGCGCGTGATCAAGTTTGCCGAGATGCCATTGCCGATACCGAGCCCGAGGATACGATAATGGATGAAAGCGACAAAATATTGACTTTGGAACCTCTGCCATTGAATGAGGTGAGATCTATTGATTCTTAAGTGAGATGTATGCAGCTTAGAAAATGCAGTTCATTTAATTTTCTTTACAATTGCATTTCTACTAGGTTCCCGGTCACCAGACAACATTCATCAATGAACTGAAGCTATCGGATTTCAAACAAGTTTTAAATAAAAGTAATATCCCATCAGAATTCAGTGGAGGAGTATTGTGGTGTTGCAATAACACCATTGCTGTTAGAAGGGTTTGTATCATTCATAATAATCATAGATTTCGTTATTTCATGTAGTAAATATTTTTTAAGCTTTATATTCCCGAATTCTTCTCGTCTAAGCCATACGCTATATCCAATCATGCAAATAAGCCTTTTATCTATTTTAGCATGAAGCTGGAAAGGTGATACTGGAAGGTTGCATTTCTGAGGACTACTACAAAGTACGGGAGCTATTATATGAACAATACGCAATTGTGTAACTGTTTTAACAAAGTGTATGTTAAGAGAGTTGTAACTGTATAAAAATCACGAGACTTTTGTACTTTATTTATTTCCTCTTGCGTTTTTTCGACCAACTTCCTCTTTCAATGCATTTTATCAAATTCATAAAAATTATTGGTAATATTGAAGGAAAGAAGCTTCCTCATTGATTTCGCTGAAACTTTACAATATTGTGTATTTTGATATATAAGACGAATATGAAAGTTAGTATTGCCATTTTCAAGTAGGACAAAAGTTATAAAGTTATTAAGTGTTAAAGAATGACAATTTTAGGGTTAAAAAATCTGTCATGACGACAGTTTTTTCTATTTTTACACCACATTTGGAATTACGCGCGCTTACGTCACTGCGCACGCTCATATTCCTGTGCACTATTGACATGACAGATATCTTAACCTCAAAACTGTTATTTTTTTAGCATTTTATAACTTTTGTCTTATTTGAGAGCGACGATTCTAACTTTCATGTGCGTATTTTATGTAGAAAAATACATAATATTGTAAAGCTTCAATCAAGTCAGTGAGAAAGTCCTTTTCCTTGAATATTACCAAATTATTATGTTTAATGAGCATTTGCATCTCTAAACTGTTCTCTAAACTGTTCAATTAGCAATGTAGAAAGCGCGTATGTACGAATAATTTTGAACGTTTTTTTAGTCATTTATAATAACCCCACTGAATGTACTTTGCGTGCTATACTGTGCTACACATTTCTAAAGATGGCGTCGATATAACCCACATACGTTCTCCTGTGTTCTCATAATTTGTGTATAATTGGCAAAAACGATTGAGTAAGTTATAAAAACGATTAGATTATTTACAAATATACGCTCATATATAACTAATGCTAACTTTATACTGAAAAAACTGCCAACAGTTACAAATATTATCCAATTAATTATCATTATATTTTGTTTCAGAATGTCCTTTAAATATTATTTCAAGATAATATTTGTGAGACACGTAGTATACAAGAGAGAGAAGCTTGCCTTATTTTTTAAAGACTTGCACATTATATGAGATCAGGATAAATATTACCAGCATGAGGAAATATTATCAAGCTGCTCTTGTTCTAACAGCAGTAATAAGTCTCATATCTTTGCTCATCTATAGGCATCAGTACAATAAACTAAGATATGTCTTAGAAGTCTTTAACTACTTTGGCAAGCATGAGTCAAGAGGAGCTAATAACAGTTGCATAAGTCTTAACTCAACATTGACCTCATTCAATCCCAAATTCGACGAACCAATTCCTTCTTGGCAACGTCTGGAAAATGATCTGTATGTGTATTCTGCATATAATATTAATTACCAGTCACACAAAGAAATACGAGCAATTGGAGTTGGGATTATAACTAGTGTCTTGAATATGCAATGTCTTATTTTCTTTGAAAATGAAAGTAAACCTATATTAGGAAACTTTAACTTTATACCTATCAGTAAGTATTCCTCAACTGTGAACAATTCGACGTATAGAGGATATCATTTTGTTTGCACGTACAGCAGCAATGAGATTCCCACTGGAATAACATTTGTCACAAAGTCTAATAGGTATCTCAATTATGCTCCTATTCTTCCTATAAGAATATTACCACAGCATCGGGATGCTAATAACAGAGTAGGTGTGTGCGTGCTGCAATCGTCAGTAAAATCGATGTTGCCTAGTATGATGAATATGATGGGCTTTATCAGCTTTCACACATCGATTGGAATGGATAATTTCATTATATACGACAGTGGAACACCAAGCAAATTTAACAGCGGATTAAAGAAGATGGCAAATGATCCATACACAGTTCAAAGATTTACATACATAGTTATACCGTGGAACTTTCCTTTCACGGAGATTGATGAGATAATCACGAAAGAAGTCGCAGTAGCAGATTGCTTGTATCGGTCATATAACAGTGTTACTTATTCTATTATTCTTTCGTGGAACGAATATGTAGTTCCAAGATATCATCGTACAACGGTCGATCTGATAATGGACATTAAAAAAACCGAATCCACGTTTGATCGTTATAGGATGAAAGCTAAATTATTCTGCACGCAACAATCTGACAATGAAAAGTACGCAAATTCTACACAGACGTTGTTCAAAAAGACAAAATCCAGCGTTGCTTCCAAAGATAGCTTTGTTTACATATATCATCCACACAAGATGGTACATGCTGAATTACAAAATTATCACAAAATACGAACCACGAATATAAGAGAAAATTTAATTTCGGTGCATCTTTATAAGCATTGTGAGGGTGGTGAAGATGTTAAATTTGTAGAAGACAACACAGCGCTCAGATTTGTTGAAAACCTGCAAAATTCGTGGATCTTTAAGAAATATCGTGAACTTTACGATCTTATGTGAACATAAAATAATACAGATTTCAACACAACTCTAAGAGATTAGCTAATTGTACAAACTTTTTGAAGATAATGCTTTGTTTATCATCATGCATATGCATACGCACACACACACTCTTGACTCTTTGTGTGTGTTGTACATATGTTATAAACATTTCAGAATTCTTTACACAGTCTTTCATACAAAAAGTGCCTTAATTACACCATATAAATTAGCTAATTAAATATTTTGTATATTTTAGATTATAAGCTATAATAAAGCATTGCTTGTTTCTAATAGATTTAAGTTTCGATATTTATCGTAACACAACTGTGAAAATGTATATACGATATTTAAAAAAATAATACTTTTATTATAAAAATTATCATCAAAAGCTGTATACATTGATGATCAACGAGCGGAATTAAAGACTGTGTTAGGCTTTAACAATTTTATAATAGACTTAGGCACAGTAAGAAGCTTGAACAAACTTGTTTGACGCACAATAAAAGAAAAAAAAAAACATAATGAAAGAGGCATTATACTCCTAATAAAAATACATAGAAACTTTATTTTCAAGTGGTTTAACATATATTTGGTAAATATCTGACGCTTACATTTCTTTTGAACTAAAGAAATTTAGAAAAAAGTTTACTTCAGTCGTTGCATTATAGCCGAACTTTGCAAACCAGCCTCTTCAATCGTTTTATCTTCGGTAAGCTCCTTCGTTGGATACATGGTTAATAGACTAAAATCCCTCAAAGCATACTGGGGTCTCATACTGATATTATCCATTAAGGAATATCTTTCAATTGAATTAAACAATCAATTTGGAAAGGACGTTACTCTCTAAAAGCTTTTTTTCAGAAACATCAGGTGATATTGATACTATACTTCAGCTATATACAAGTATTTCCACTTTAAACAACACGACATACAGTGAAGTTTTACTTTCTTCTTGTGTGCAGTAAGGTCCTTTCCAAACAAAGCAACAGAATGGAGAAAGATTTGTAAAATACCAAAGGATACGTTATTATGTATCGTCTAATATCACTGACTGTATGCGTCAGATTGAACTGGGCTCTTACAGTACTACCATCTACAAGACGAATTTGTATCGTAGTGGTTGGCTGCGAAGTGTCTACATTCAGTTCTTTCTTCGCCTGCGCCTCGTTAGCAGCCTGGTCAGCGGGGTCCGCGGGAACTGTCATACCTACAGTAGCTGGTGATGGACTGAAACATTCACGACAATGAAATTTGGAAGTCATGATAGATTTCGGTGATAAAAGACAAGTTTCCAATGTACCTGCCCAGCATGTGACCTTTCCCGGAGAAGGCTTTCACCTTGGCTTTCGTCGGAACATAGGCTTCGTGACGATGATCCTCCATATCGAGTCGCAAATCAGCACCCTGCACCTGTTGACGAATCTCTGCTGGGACTTCGCCTCGTTTGACAGCTGCTAGAAATTCTCTATTTTCAGGCTCACTGTACGATCGAATCTCGCTGTCGTTTATGGTAAACCCATCCTTCCATAGTTTCAATATAACGAGACCACTAGAAGATTGCTGATCTGCATCCGCTCCTATTACTACTATTGACACAGAGAATGTAAGTGTGCAAACAAATACTGTCACATTCATCAAGGTTAATTTCAGTAAGAGCATAATAAGGATAATGAGAGTTAAAAGATACCTTCACTATCAGAACTAGTTTGACCTAATTTATAGCCAGTGCCACTGAACGTATTCGGCCTCTGTTGCCCTCCCATTTTTGTTGGCTCTACTGCGAGGGACTGGCTCTGACAGGATTTGAACATGTCACTAATAATGTCCTTCTTCTTCTTCTTTCCTGGCCCTAAAACCTGCTGTCCACTATGTTCAGAACCTCCAGCATAGAACGCTTGTCCCTCCTCATCGTCAGAACTGCTGTCTTTGTATTTGATAACACTCAACGATCCGAAGGAGACTTTAGGCTTTGGCTTAGCACCTTTGGACTCTTCTGCGTCAGACTTCGTGTTCTCCGACATGGTGTCCGCGGTATTGTCCTGAAAGCCTGCTGCTTCCTCTGTATCATCAACAGGTTCAGTCACCAACGCCGGCGCCTCGTCGTTCTCGTAAAAACTTGCGAGAGCAACCTGTAAAAATGCTGTGTGCCAACGCGTGTGACGGAATCGTCGTTGTGAAAGATTGAAACCTTACGGCGTGCTGCGCGTAAAGCTTCAACAATCTCGATTTTAGTCCCGACATCTCATCGATATTATTCTTGCAATTGTCATGACGAATGATCATTTAGGAATTACCAAAGCGAAAGCGAGAGAAGGAGGGAAGAGTGAGAAGAAAGGAAAATAAAAGCATCGTGCGATGACCGAGACGTCAAGGGTAAAGGAGTCGCGTTTAGGCCATTCGCGGGGCCTTCTCGAAGAATAAAGTATCGACGAGTGCGATTGCAGGTTACTAAACTGGTGTCGAGATTACCGCAATGAAACCGCCAGAGCTGCCGCGAAGAGGTGCAAAAGAACAAAGCGATTCACTCGATATCCAATCTCCGAGGTCTCGAGTAAATATGCTGTCTCACCTCGAGATGCCAAGCGGACGACTCAAGGAAGAATTGCGCTCTCTCGGCCTCAACACCAGTTACGTCTGCGAATTGCGAGACTAACTCGTCGTGGTTCGCCATTCTTCGCGAATGTTTGAAAGAACTCACGAGTTATCACTCTCTGTCTCTATTTTCCTCGCAAGTCCTCTCGGTGCAAAAGCTTCGCGTCAATCTCAACCCAACGAGGCTAAACGCTCCCCGTGTTTCGCCGTTTCATGTCAATTCTCACGATCCATGTATGTACCTGTCATTCCCCTCATTCAATCGCGGAATCGAACCGGATGTGTGCGCGGCTCGTTTGAACGAGCGTGCGATCTCCTCTGTCTCGTATTTTGCGAAGTAAAACCAGAATTTAAGTTTCAAATATGAAATTGACATCAAGTCGAGAAAATTGTGTGAGTTTTTAATTCAAATATACGCAGCTGTGTTTATTATAACCTAGAACTGAGAGTCAAATTAAATATTACTCTTAGCTGCTCGATTTGTCTACTTGACAGAATAACGCTGTGCCACGTTTTATCCAATGCACATGAGACACGTCAGTCTCTAAAGGTACACTTGTAATATAATAATTTTTTATCTTATTTACAGTCTTGTCAGCGTCCACGTGTCGTATTGGTGAGACGTACACGGGACACTTGTAAATATTATCGTTCATTATCTCATCTCTGTTGAATGTAAGACGTATAGGTGGCATGTCATAGCAAAATATATTTGTCAAACTTTCGGTCAACACGTGTCGCTGTGTATCCCATCGAGCGCCAAATAAATGTAAGCCACAAATATAATAAGTATCCACATCTTCCTCGCTGTATTCATAATCATACTTTGTCACTTTCAGATCCAATGCGACTTGTTCGATCGACACATTGCGACGTCGTGAAAATGTGAGAAGAGCCGCGGATAAAAATCTCTTGCAACAGGAAAGCGCATCAAAGTGGACAACATTAGACATACCGTTGTCGTGCCAATTTTGTACAAAGTTTAGGCGTTTTACAAGCAAGCCGATGTAATTTGACAGATATCCAGTTGTAATTCCAATATCGACTGTCCGCCAAATGCGCGGAACTTCGTTGTTGCAGATCTGTTTAGAGAGATCCTCCAAACACTCATTCATAATAACGTCGCCGTTTAATGCTGACTCCAAATCATTCAAAGATTTTGCAATTGTAACTACAATCTTATTGATTAATTCAGCTTCATAAATGAGAACCGCATTTAGCGGTTCACGTGAAGTAAGTGGATGCTTGTTTCGAATCTCATTAATGTCGAACAAAGCAGGCAGTTTGTCATTAATTTTATTGATTGTCTCTCTTATTCGATCCGCCACGACTTCATGATCCGGTGGTCCGATTTGATCTAACAAAGATATCGATTCTATGAATTCTCGAGCGGCAGCAGCGTCCTTTGTGACAAGAGCGTTCTCGTCGACAGCAAAGGCTTCTGGAGATGCGTCCAACTGCATACTGTTAATGTGCATGATAATATCGCGATACTCGCATCTCTGCGGCACCAAGTGCTCCGTGTGACCGGAGAAGGAGTACTCGACGTCACCGATCATCCGAGCGTTGCAGAAGGACTCCAACAGATATCGTAGGCATCTATGATCGAGATTGTCCATGATCTTCCCACCGTAATTACATTCTCCGATGAAATAAAGTAGAGTGTCGAATGGTATGCTCTCGTTGTCGTTGATCAGATCCTGCAACTGCCTAACGGACATTTCAAAGTCCATTTGGTCAAAATCGTACGGGATATTCCATCCTTGCGGCCCAAAATATCTTCTTTCTCTGACGATCCCGTGGAAAAAGCACAGTCCGTACAAGAGCTTGGAGAATTCCTTGTCCTTGCCGGGACACCCTTCGAAGAACTCCTTGCACCCGATGGGCTCGGACCGGTACGTCCTGAGCAAGTTTTGCTTCAGCTGAAGAGAGCAATCGTACGCGATCTTCACGCTGTTCTGCAAGATACTTATGGGGAAGTCTGGAGTGGAGCAGCTGGATAACCACAATCGGAAGTCCAACGACGTGGAAGATGAACTCAGATTCTCGCAGATCCACTGAAGTCGCGGTATCCAGCGAGTAGCGTGATGGCAGTTCTGCAGGAACACCCATCCGCCGTCCTTTCGTGCTCGTCTCACAAGAGCCTCAACGTCGCTTAGCTGCTTGTCGCTCATAGACAGAGACACGAATTTCGAGGTGTATCCTCTAGCGCTCGCATACGCGGAGACGAGCGACAAGGGTGAGTTGTAGCTTGGCAGAATGAATATAATCGGTGTGAAGCAACTGGACTCCGCATACGACTCGGAGATCTGAAGGTGTGGGTACGAATTGAATACGTCGCCCATGGTATCCTCTATCAGGCGCATTATTTCCACGATGATCTTGTCGCGTCGTATCACTTTGACAATTAGCAATCTTTGAAAGCGAGTCAAATTATCGGCCCATGGTTTTGGCAGCAAGTGACTGCGGAACGGCGCTGCCTTGCAATATCTCTCCCAGGCCGCGCCGTTGGAGCGAAAATCATTCACGAGTTCGTGTAAGTTAGGCAGCATTGAGCTTAATCTACAAATCTGTCGCCATGTAGTCGCTAATAACCATTCAGGTGCTTCCCCCGAGATTGCATCACTGTTCTCCGCTTCCAAGGAAGTGAAGCATTTAACTTCTTCTTGCGTGATCTGCTCGGCGTCGATTAAAACTTTAATACATAACAAGAAAGAGTATAAGAGTTTGTGTTTCTCGAATAACGAACGGCAGACGCTGGAGTGAAGGTTCCTCGTGAAAGAAGACTTGAGAAACTGCAGTCGTTTCTCAAGAATGACGCTTCTGTTGGAGATCTCGATCGACGTGATGTATAACTGAATGAACCACGAGAAGGAGAAACGGTACATGTGATTCAGGTTAGAGAGAGTGTTGAGTGTGCAGAATAATTGCGCGCAATGGTCGGCGAACTGTAGATACGCATCTCTGAACTTGTTGATGTCCTTTGTCATCGCTCTAGCTGCTTCTTGCCGCCTCATGATGTCTATGGTGAGAGTCTTGGAGGAGTCCAATATGCGTATCGCGTTCTCATCCTCTAGGATATTCGTGGTAGTTGATGAGAGAGTGCTCAGAATGTTGTCCTCTTGCTGTTGGAGAACCTTCTTGTTGGTGACGTCTTGGATACGCAGCTTCTCGAATTTTACTTGAAGCTCTGGTCTCTCCTTCGAGATGACGATATCCAGTAGCTTATCGCGCAGAGTTCCATCTGGCATGGAAAAATCGATGATCGTGAGCTTGCTGGAAACGTCGGCCGCGTAATTCGGATTCGACAGTCGCGTGGTGATGTAGAATCGGAAGTTTTGCGAGTACTTGATCGATTTACCTGCGATAACAATGTACCAATCGTCGTTCTTGTAAATATCCTTTAGTAGAATCGGTTCCAGAGCAATCTCCAGTGTCTCTCCAACGTTCTCCAGCAAAACCGGCACGCCACTCTCAATATTTTGTTTAATCACCGTCATGTAATCAGCATCCGTCAGTTTGACGACTTTCAAGTTATTCTTCCGCTCAATCTTTTTGATCCACTGATTTATTTGATTTTGCGAATCGATGAAAAGACACCATTGCTCTGAATTGTTCAAGATCACCGCGTTCTCTATTGCGAAGCGATTCTTGGACAAGCCGCAAAGTTGCCAATAATTTATTTCAATTTCCACGCCTAAGACGTTTATTAAACTATAAGTTTTAGTGTAAGGTATTTTGGAAGCTTCCATGACTTTTTTCCACTTGATCAATATCTCATCGCGAAATGAAATGTTGTAGGACGCCATGTAAGCGATTAATGCGCATGAGAGCAGCATGTCACCCACAAGGCTGTCGTAATTCATTTGAAGGCTGCAAGTGCATTGCACCCAACGGTTTTTCTCGCCACCCAGACTCGTGATCAGCTTTTCTGCCTTGACCAACTTGGTGGTGCATGTCGTCACTTCCGTTTCCAACTGGAGCTTCTTCTGCAACGTTTGCCGCAGACTGTCGTTCAACGCCGCCAGTTTCGCGTTCAGCGCGGCCAAGGTCTGCCGTTTCTCGTTCAAGAACGCCTCGGCTTCGTTGCACTCCGTCTGCGCCTCGACTAGTTTCTTCTTCTTGGGTGCGACCACCTTGGCCACCTCGTCGTAGGACACCATCGCGCGTACCCACTTGCAGAGACCCTCGGCAGCGCTGGACGCCTTTGCGACTATGTGCGGCATGAAGCTATTGTCCGTCATGTACGTTTTCTTGATCACCTGCATCACCGTGGGTGCTATGTTGTCCTTGTCGTAATCCTTGAGGTTCTGCAAGAAATTCATATCGCCGAGGATGCGTTTGCTTGGACCCCAGAAGTCCGTGTACTTCTTGCCGGTGGCTGGATCGATAGTGCGATCCGGTGGGACACCCAGCATCACGCAAACGGCTGCCATCACTAGCTTGATAGTGTCCGGGGGATTCTTCATCGCCTTCACTAGCGTGATATCGGTCGGCTTCAAGGTATTCAAAGCGACCACCGCGTCTTCAAGGATAGGTATCGCGACGGCAAGATCAGCCTCACACTCGGACTTCAGAGCACCCGCGATCTCTGCCTTCTTGTTCGCGATCTCCTCTTCCTTCTTCACGACAATCGTGGCTTGTTCCACAGTGACGTTCTCGTTCTCTACCTCTTTCATAGTGATCATCGTTTGTTGAGCAGACAATTCCAACTGAGGCTTCAAGATAGTCAGAGTAGCCTTCATCTGCTCCACCTGCTCGGCTGCTAATTCCAACTTCTCCAAGCCTGCTACGTATCTGTTTCGCGTAGCAACGATTTCCTCCTGCTTCTTTGACGTGAGCCGTGTATACAACTTCAGCATGTGCAAGAAGGCAGAAGACGTCACGTGAATCATTCTGCCGAACGTTTCATGGTACCTCAGACTCATCCGTTTCGCATCGTTGTGGAATTGCACGCAAGTTTTCGCCACTTGCGTTTTGATTTCCTCTTGCACATTCACGTGCTTCATATGCTTCACTGCGATCTCCAAAAGAGCCTGGTCGGGCCAGTCCTCATAGCAGTTTACTGTACAGTGCTTTGCCAAGTTTAGATGCGAACACAAAAACGTTCTAAACCCAACGGGACTGAAACACAGCACGAAATGTAATCTGTTCTTGCACTGCTCGACGAAATACAGCATCACTGAACGCGCGCTCAGCTCCACATTTCGATCGCCATCCTGAGCATGAAGTCGTGTCATCTCGATTATACTCTGTCTGTCCTCGATGGAGAACAAGTCGGGTAACTCTCCGGTGCTCAACAAACAACTGATGTCGTTTAAGAACTCATCCTTCATCTGTCGCTCGCTCATGAAATACGTGACGTCCTTTCGCAACGCTCCACATTCCCGCAAAACTTTTCTCAAGTTGTTTCTCCATGCATTTGCGTCGTAATAAGATTCTGTGGTAGTTTCGAATAGGCTCTGCTGCTGCATGAAAGCGGCGAGAGCGGTCGTGGTCTTTCTGCCAGATCCTATGGTGGATATCATCAGCACATTTCCACCCGGGGTGCTCAGGACCCTAGAAATTTTGATCAGAGACTTCAACATATAATGAGATGCGACAATGTCGAGCTTCTTCTTGGCGTTCGCATTGTATTCGTCCAAGTGAGCGAGGACTTTGTTCCTCAGCGTTTCCATGGAGCTGATCTCCTCGTACCGCTTACCTCTGCCGCTTCTCTCCGTATCCATGAGATTACTGAACGCGAAGTCGCCGAAGCTGTCCTTAGTAATCTGACCGTTCTCGAGTTTAGGCAGATGGTCGAACGCGATCTCGAACGAGTCTTTGAAGTTCTTTTTCACCGCGTCGCGGGTCCTCAGGAACAACCACTCTTTGTCGCTCTCATCCGACATGCGATCGCCGAACACACGCAGGACCTCGTGCACCCACAGTCGGATAAATATGATCTTTGTTTCCACCGACTCCTTCTGAATCAAGCTGCACCCGGTGATTACTTTAGATATATCTCTCATGTTGAAGAAATAGCACAATTTGTTGGGCACCGGTCGCAACGTCTTTATCACGGATTTATACACGTCAATAGTCGCGTTTACCATACTGTTCACGTTTCCCGTGATGTCCGCTGCAAACAAGTTTTTCTTCAAGTTGACGAGTAATACATTGGAGTAAATCCTAAATATATTTTCGGCTGTAGGAGCTGGAATCGTGTAAGTATTGAAATGTCTCAAGAATCGAAGAGGTACGTTTCCATCGATCTTTTCCGTTGTTACTGCAAGTGTGAACACAATATCTTCCACAAAAATCTTCGTCAATTCGTTCACATCATAGCAGTAATTATAACTGAGAAGTTGTCGTAAAAGCTCGAATACGGACTGCGCCTTCGGTCGCTGTACAACGGTTTCACTCACGTCGTCCACGAAGTTCACGCAGTACCGGTTCCTTCCCGGCCCATAATTCGTACGTCGTATTTTGTTCAGCTTGGAAAACAGCAAGCTCTGCGTTCTGCTCACGCTGACCATGGAAATGAAACTGAAAAAGTTGGACAGACAATTTTCCGGCAATCTATTACTCAAAAGATCGCGTATCATACAGGACTTTCCAATGGCGACGTCGCCATACACGAGGAAAGGCTTCCGGTGTTGAATGTGCTTCGAGAACACTTGGTGATACTTCGCACTGCTAATAGTCGGAATATAGATTTGACTGAAATTAGATATCTCGGGGATCTTTTCGGTTTTCAGTGAGTCACCGTAGTATCTCCAGTTGCCCATGCCTTTGAAGATGTAGAAGTTGTCTTGAATCAGACCCTCGGTAGGAAGCGTCACGTCGAACTGTTTAATACCATCGGGCTTTGGGTACTTCGCGTTCGTACCGTTCCAGAAGGACATGCAGAAAGCGTTGAATCGAGTCTGCGAGTCGTCAATCAAATTCCCACCCAGTCCCAAAGCAATGGCTAAAATTAAGGCGGCTTGCGCCCATACGACAAAGTGATTTCCTGTATCCTCCGCGGTATCCTTGCAAGCGTCTTTCAAGATCATCTCGAATAGATTCAACGTTGATACGACGAGATGCAATTCACGAGCTATTGGCACGTCGGTGTTCTCCCTCAAGAAATTCAAACACGGATCTATCGTCCAATCGAACAAAGTACTCAATATTTTCTCGTAGCCGCTGTAAATGTCGTGCCTCGCTATGTGCGACAACATGTATGGCCTCCAGCCAATGGAGTAAGCGTCGATATAAATGACTCCGCATCGTGATATTAAACTAGGCGAGACTTCTACCAGGCTCGCTGTCTCGAAGATCACGTGCATCGATTCCGTCATGGGGAGTCGTTCGCCAGATGCCAAATGTAACATTCTGTTCTCGTCCAGAGCCGTGTAAAAGTTCTCTATCCATGCGTCGCTCAAGGCTCCGTCGAACACCAGCCATTTGCGATCGGTCGAGAAGTCTTCCGCGAAACGACGAAACACGGCGGTGCATAAACCGTCCTTCCAGATCCTTGACTCGCCGCAGAAATGCCCAAAGAGTCCGTCGCTGTTCAACACACCTGGAATAACAGTCTCGAGTTTCACCGTGGCACCGAGTTTGCTTTTCTGATCACGCAGTGACGAAAACGTCTCGGCAAGCGTATGCAAGATTTCCGTCTTTCCACACGAAGGCTCACCGACGAGTATAAAAGCGCGATGGACATACATCAGCTCGATGATCTGTATAGCTTTCAGCTTGAAGATCTGGTGCAACGTCAGGCATCTCTTCGCGCACACGCTTTCGAGTGCGCTCAAAATCGCCGAGTTATCGAAAGGGAACATGACAGTCTCGGGGAAGACGTTTTGTATCACATTCTGGAAAATGTGAACATCAGTATTATACAGCTGCGGGATATTTATGTCGATTAACGAACGCAGCAGCAACATATACTCGTTTTCCTCCGGCAGATTTCGTTTCATGCTAATCGCGGTTTCGATGACAGTCTTCAGCGATGACAAACCAAGATTATAACAATTTTTTTTTTCTAGAAGTTCGGACAATAACTTGTAACTGACGCTTAATTTCACCGCCAGATCTTTCACGCAGAGAAATCCACCGGCAAACAGCTTAATCTCAGCAATCCTTTCAATATTCGGCGCAATCATCGACACAGAACGGAACAAAACTTTCAGATTATCCGGCAAATTAGTATATCCGAATCGTTCCGAGTTAATATTGATACATATGTTCCCAGAGGCGTTGAAGTCAAAGATGTAGCCGTCGAGGTTCACAGTCTTTAATTTGGACGACATCGCTTGCTTCATCTGTGTGAGATTCTGAGCGATCGCTGACAGCAATTCGAGTTTCAACTTGTCGAAATTCTTAAGACAGATCCAAGCGCCGCAGGAAACCACACCTTTGAACGCTTGCGTCACGCACTCGTAAGAAACGCTCTGGTTACAATTGACGATGTAAAACGGCTTCGCGAGAGCGCTTGTTAAGCTCCTGATCGTCTCCGTCTTACCGGTATTAGTCGGTCCAATGATGCTGCTGTACAAATGATAACGATATGCCTGCATCACAGCGCGGAAGCACCTGTCGGTTAAAGGTGTGTTAACGATATTCTGCTGATAATAGTTGTACTCGTATCCATATTCGATTGTTGCATTGAATACCGACACTTCGACGACTTCATCGTGGCGATAATATTTCAACTGTGCGGTCCACTCGAAGTCCCTTCGCTCGGTAACGTTCCTCTCCATCAGCAGTCTCAAAGTATCCTTATGGGCAGACGCAATAATAATCAACGACATCAGTAGGTTTCTACATCTTCGTATTAAATTACTTCTCAGCTCTTTCGTCATGGAAACCATCCAGTCGGCATATCTTGTGAACAAAGACTTTAACGTTGCGCCGTTTAACGACGTGAGACACTCCTCCACCGAGGAAGTCCAATGAAGTTGAAGACCACAAACAATAGCCATGCTTGGGACATTACTTGTGTAGACAGTTATCAGATCTTCTTCGACTAGAGGATGATATCGCAGAATATTTTCGTGAACTGCATCTATCATCTCTCTTTCGAGCTGAATCAACCATTCTTCTTCGCACTCCGTGTTGGGGACCATTGGAATGTTGTTCTTCAAACGTACAGTCTCCCCGTAACATCCGATGATGCATTGAATGCAACTGGATCTGTTAAGTTTCAATCGTTCTATACCAGAGAAACATTTCTTCACAACAGTGTAACGTTTTACTATGTCAGACTCGAACAATATATTTCGGATCTCTGAGTTTTCGAGGAAGAAGAATCTTGAAAAGGACAGTCTCTTCATATCTAAGTAACTTTTCACGCCTCTGTCGGCTTTCTCCAACTTCTCGTTAACTTGGTTCAAGATCTCCAATAAATCCGTCGATTCCTTGATGTCTTGGTAACTCGGATTCTCCGTGAATTTGTTATAAATGTCTGATAAAATTTTCGTTGCTTGCAGGTACAATGTAGTTTCCTCATCCAAACGTGTCGTTATCCCTGGGTAAGAGAATACCAAGTCCAGCAGCAGTTTACGGAATTGTATATTCGTCCATTGATCGAGGCTTTCTTGGATCCTCAAGAGCACAGCGAGGAACTCAACTACATCCAATAATATAGGCTTGACGAAGTGAGACGCTCTCATCTCTTCGATCTTGATGAGGTGTTCTCTGAGCAATGTCTCGATGTCGTCTATATACTTGAAAACTACTATACCGGACTGCGCGTCGCTCGACATCTCGAATGATATCGGCTGCCATTCTCTAATCATTTCAGCCAATTCTTGCTGAAGACGAAGCTCTTTGTTGGCGCCCAGGCTTATAGCCTTATACTTGTCGATATTGTCCATCAAGTTCATGTCGATCATCTTCTTCAAAGTTGTCCCGGCGTTCGGTGTGAGATCGAAGTTACATATTGCGGACATCTCTTGCCAATGACGCGCTTCCAGAGCGGAATTGCACATGCAGACTGCGAGCGGTAGATAGACCTTGAACTCGTTGACGTTCCTCAGCGCTTGCCAACACAATTTTAACGGCGCCGGCTGCTGCATCGGGTCGGGATCGTCGGCGATGCCGGCAAATTTATAGGACTTATTCGCCGTCACGTCCATCTTGATGCGCGACTTCATCGTCTTGCTCATCTCCGTTATCTTGTCGAGATAGTTTACGGTCTTCTTCTCAATGACGGAGGCGTCCAGGCATTCGAATGGGCCGTTCAGCCACACGGAGTTGTCTCGTTGCCATTGGTGAATAGCGCATATAAGCGTGTAAAACGGCACGATCGTCTCCTTCAGCTCATTGATCTTCGGAAACTCCGTTTCAGGGAACTTGAAGAGTCTCTCTTCCGAATTGATGACTTGCATCTCGCCATTCATATAATCATACTTTTTCATCAGGTTCTTGTAGTGTTCTGCATACTCCCCGACTCTACTAACGTCGTCCATGTTGTCTAGGATAATGAGCTGCGGGAACATCGCGTCGACCTCTGAGTTCAACGTATTTATCCGTCGTTGAAGATCCTCTTCTAGTTCGCTCTTCATTGCCTCGCATAACGTATTGCTCTGTGCGAAGATCGGCTGAATGTCACGTAGCCAATTCACGGTAGTCTTGTTCAACTCGACGTGCTCGTCGCTCAGCACAACGATGTCCGACAATTTACACAGCATGTAGATCGATTGTCGTATATGCAGCTCTTGCTCCTTCATCGATACCTTCGAAGCATGCGACACGTATTCGCTCAAGTGTATCAACGATTCCGCATCTTTTGGAATATCCAGCGCCTTGGATTTCAGATCCTCGAAGTCCAGACAGATAGAACGATTGAAGTCCTGATGATACCTCACGAGTTCCACCGTAAGCACATTTATAACGTCGCAGCAGATTTGCGTCAGGGACTCCTTGGCGCTGATCTGCTCCAATTTGCCTACATTGTAATACAAATTGGACAGCATAGAGTTCGTCTTGGTCAGGTATTCCTTGTACTTGTGTATGTACGTGAGATATACGTCGAAGTTCGGTTGTTTGGAAGTTAACGAGCGTATTCGGCTCCTAGTGCTCGATGCGCACACACCGCTGAATTCTTCGGAAACGAGCGTCACGTGCTCGTTTACAGGTTGGAACAAAGCATCCAGTATCTCCTGCAAGTTGCGGTGAGACTCTTCGACAAACCAGTCGGGAAGCATTATTTTTATATACTTTACATTCGCCTTGATGTCTAGCCATTCTTCCAGAGGCATCAGATCTTGTGCAATAGCCTCGATGCTTCTGATAATATCGTGGTACGTCGAGAACACCTCCTCTATGTCTGGTCGAGTCACAAGCTGGTCGCCTTCGTATACTAGTTGAAACTCAATTCGAGGGCAGGAGCGAGCATCTCTCATAATGCTTATTATGTGATCGATCGATCTCATCATCACACTTAGAATCTGTTGCACGAATACGTTCGTGAGACATTGCATAAGTTGCGACAGACGCTTCGCGGAGATACCTCTTAATGTCTTTGATTTCTGTACAGCCTTGAAGGTTTCAGTATAAAACTTATTGGTGATTGTCAGAGCACCTCTCTTGATGTCTCTGAAGACCATATCTTGGAAACCGTGCAGTGTTAGCATTCCAATTTCATGATAACGTCTGAAATCACAAATTACTGTAGGCAGAATGCGATGTGCTGTGTTCATAACACGACTGATTATTGGATAAGAAAGAAAATATCTCTTAGTAAATAAACAGCGACGTTTTAAAAATATAGTGCGGTTATACGTTGTATATTCTTCCATGATGTTCTGTTTCAAGCCAGAAGAAACATTGCATTCTTCGCAAGTGGTGTGCTCTCTCATGTAAACTTTGCAGGATAAGATGGATCTCAGTGCAAAGTCTTTCATATTTTCAACATACATTTCTTTGACTTCATCCAATACCAAATTTATGAAGGAGGAATGCTTTCTTCTGTCTGCACAAGGTATTAGATCCAATATGTTCCTCTTCCATTCTCTAGAAAACTCAGAGATATAAATATCTTTAATATAATCCTTCAATCTGATTTGTTTCAGTGAGTTGGAGTTTGAGTATTTAATTACTGCAATATCTGATTCCCAAATGTTGCAATCCATATTTATGAATATATTTCTGTTGTGAGCAATACTACTAGATTCACTGTTGATTATTTTATAATAATCAATTTATTTTATAGATAAATTTGTTTTTAATTAATTATTTTTTATAATATTCTCATAAAACATGGCTAAACAAATTTACACAATTATATGGATTAACAATAGAGAAATCCATAACATAATTGTTAATTATTACTCATCAATTGATTCTACATTTAAGAACTAGCTAATCACAGAATCAAGCTTCTTGGATACGATACATGTTTTATCAATATACTGACCATATTTCAAATAGACTTTCAGATAATGACAAACTTTTCTTTGTTAAAATTAAAATTTAAATATTAATTTGTCTGTGTGGAAAATTATGAAATTAAGTATTTAAATATTGTAAAATAGCGCGGTAATAGTGAATAAAATGTGTTGTTTCTGATTTAACGTACTATGTAAACAACCTTTATTATTATAATTAATAATTGTAATTTAATTAATCTTAATATGAAATAAATTATTATACCTTTCTTTGTCATTCGTACGCAATCAGCTATATTATTTATTGAATTATCACAAACAGTTAATTCAGGAGAAAACAAAAACATTTACATACCTGCCATCTACTGAAGGATAGATGAAACTATAAACAGAATAAATTACTTGTCGATATTGAAGAAAATGACTTTTCCTAAAAAGGTTTGACATCTAGTTCAAAAGTCTCCGCTACGAGTCGCTACTGTTTTCATGAAATTGAAGTCGTGGTATAACCCAATATAGGTCTGTTCTTTTGCTCTGCACTGCTGCACTGATGCAGAGCGAAAGAACAGACCATATATAAGTCAGACTTATGTATTTACAGTAGCACAATTTAATAATAGATCAGACTTACTTTATTTTTCTGTAGCACCACCGAACAACGGATAATTTTTTATTTCTACTTATTAACAAGAAATAAAGATCTGTCCGACTAGACGATGAATGATATTAAATAATTGGTCTTTTAATCATAAAAAAGGAAAGTATCTAATATTAGTTTATCGGTCGTTTATCGTTCATTCTCAGTGATAGGTTATAAACATGAGCAATATTTATATACAAGAACCACCTACGACGGGCAAGGTAAGCTTAAATTATTATAAAAGTTTACAACAAAATTTTCAAGGTAAATGTTACGTCTAATGGAAATGTAAAGTAATTAATTTGAGAATGTAGCGCAATTAAAATTTATTGTAAATTTTTAATATTGAATATATTAACAATTAAACCGTTTCTTTACTAATTCTGTGAAATAGGTCTTAATGAAAACAACTGCTGGTGACATAGATTTGGAATTATGGACAAAAGAAGCACCCAAGGCTTGTAGAAATTTCATACAACTTTGTATGGAAGGTTACTATAATGGCACAATATTTCATAGAGTTATAAAAGGTTTTATAGCACAAGGTGGAGATCCAACAGGTACAGGAGAAGGTGGTGAGAGCATATATGGATATGCTTTCAAGGTATAGTTATTTATAATTCTATCTAGTTATACTTTAATATATATATATATTCTTAGTTTTAGCTTAACAATTGTGTTATTTGTATTATTTATTTACAGGATGAATTTCATACAAGGTTACGTTTTTGTCGGAGAGGTTTACTTGCTATGGCGAATGCTGGAAAAGATGATAATGGCTCTCAATTTTTCTTTACTCTTGGCTCGACACCAGAGTTGCAAAATAAGCATACTATCTTTGGCAAGGTTACTGGGGAAACAATTTACAATATGCTCAAGTTGGAAGATGCACTCGTAGATGAAGTAAGTGTTAATTTATGTCTAACATTTGTATATTAAGAATTATATATATCACTACTTAGTGATACTCATAAATTATTTAATTCCAGAATGACAGGCCTCAATATCCACAGAAGATCTTAAAAACGGAAGTATTAAATAATCCTTTCCAGGATATTGTTCCAAGAGTAGAGCTTGAGAGAAACACAGATAATAGAGAAAGCAAGAAAGACAAAAAGGCTGGTGTAAAGTAAGATAAACATTGTTTCAGATAATAATAAGTATTGTTTTTATACATCTGCAAATTTTTTAGGAATTTTAAGTTACTGTCGTTTGGAGAAGAGGCTGAAGAAGATGAGGAAGAGTCATTAGTTTTAAACAAGCAGTATAGCAGCAAAGGAAAATCAGCACATGATTGTTTGTCTGATCCAAAGTTAAGTGCACAGCCTGTAGTTGAGCCAGCTGGACTACCAAGTAAGAGATTCAAAGAAGATCGAAGCAGTGACTGGGAAAATGATGAAGAGACGCACACTCCGGAAGAATTAGCTGCTCTGGCGAAGGAAAAAGAGTGAGTTGGTTACAGAAAGTAAATATATTGCTGCATAAGGTAAACGTCCTAGTAATTGAGCGTGTACCGATAATTGAATTACTAATAATATACTTGTGTTTGTTAAAATGCTTATCAATAAATGAAACAAAATCACAAAGTAACTAAATATTTCTTTTGATTTATTATATTATTTTGTATATTGTAAAGCATTTCAACAAAGAAAAATACAAAACCAATATGTCAATCATTGAGACATGTATGTTCAACCACTGGGACGTTTACTTTAGTGCAAAATAATTATTATGATCGATGTTATGGAAATAATATTACGTAATATAACAACAGGGCTATGAAAGAAAGGATTAAAAGCAAATTAAGGGACTCTAAAAAGTCCCTTAATTTGCAGTCTTCGCAGTCAAAATCGAAAATTGAAGATGATAAAGTTAAAAAAGAAGAGACTAATGAGGATAAGGAGATAGAGGAATATTATCTAGGAAAGGATCGGGAGGAAGAACGAAAGAAAAAGGCGTATGTATTATTTGTCTGCGTATATTTTTATTGAGTAACATAGATAGAATTATATATTCCTTTAAAATAGAATACGATTTATAAGTATTTTATATTAGTGAAAATTTAATATTACAGCGAAGCGATCAGGAAAGAGATCCGCGAGCTGAAGCGTGACGTGCAAAACGAAAAACGAATGAAGGAAGCGGAGCGCAAACAACAAGCTGATAAGGACGATAAGAAGGAGAAGTCTGAAGTAATGAAGGAATACATAGAAACCCAAGAAAGATATAAGAAAGCAAAAGCGCAGCTGCCTAAGAAGGGCAAAGTGCGCGAGAATTTCACGATGGAGCTACTGAACAAATTCAGAAACAAACTCCAAAACGCTAAAGAGAAGGATACCACCGCGGATTCTGACAAGCACATTTCAGAAAAAACGTCGCAGAGCGATGAGGATGACGAGGATCCGGGTGACGAGTCTTGGATGACACATGCTTTGCACTGCGAGGAGAAAGCGCCGGTGCTCGCGAAGGACGCCAACACCAAGGCTGACGATTGGTTCGAGATTTACGATCCTCGAAATCCATTGAACAAGCGACGAAGGGGAGAGAAGTCTCAAAGACCCAAAGACGAGGATAGCAAGAGCTCTCGTCACAAGTGATCAGCAAATACTATATGATAATCAAGCAATTTCTCTGTATGATAAATGAGCGATTTACGCCGCATAAAATGGATCATGTATATAGCAGTTTCGTGTAAATTATGTCTTTACAAATTCTAAAATATATACTGTTTTCTCTTCTGATAAGATTCGCATAGAATCGATTTGCAGCGCGACGTATGCACTTATCTCATTCCGGAGGTAGCCTGTGCCTCGAGAGATATTCCGCTATTTATATGTTAAGTTAGTTGCACTCAAATAATTCTGAGTACACTCTTTTTAAACTACTTTCTTCGGCGCGCCGCGATTTACGTTCACTAACTGGTTCACTCGTCAATAACAGCTGCCGAGTAGTACAACGGACCATGAAAGAGAAAGAGAGAGAGGAGAGGCGGAAACTGATGATTAAGATCCCAGAATTTATTTTGAAAAGCGTATCGCTCCTCAGCAGTCGTGCGTCGTCGTGTTTCGCGAGAGGGAACGAACGGAAGAGCGTCTCGCTCATTCCCTGTGCAAATACGCTGCCGATCGTTGCCTTCTTACTCCACGCGTAGTAGAGTGCGATAAGGCATTGATACAATTTGCAGCATGTTCGCACATCCACGGATTCAGTTGATCTGTTGACCGCGACCGATACGTATCGCGCGTTTTATGTAACTTCGCAATATAATAAACGAGTCCTTTCTAAAGAGTGCCTCCGGGAGATTCTTTCTTTGCCTGAATCGTGAGAATTAGTGCACTGAAGAAAGAGAAAGCAACTTTATTGAAGTTACGAAAATTGATTGGTTGTATGTGCTTCGTTGTAAAGCTCGAAATGCGAAACGTGATGTTGAAAATATATGAGCGTAGTGGTGATTAAAATGTTGTTACTTGATATTATGTGATATAATTGATAATAGAAACCACTTAGAGATATTCGCGTGGCGCGCAACTTACATCGGCGAAGTTTCGTTCGCTCGATTGATCTGAGAGAGGAACAAAACTGCAGCTACCCAGTCCTTGCGCGACTGAGTCCACGTGTACACTGAGATCTTTGAAGGAAGATGCCTACGACACCTCTGAAGATAGATATATTCGGTGAGAATCTTTAGCGATGACCTGTTATTGCTGAAACAGGCTAGCGTTAGTTTCATTATCGGCGCGGAATGATAGTGCACATTGTTAAAGCGACGCGTGTATCGTTGAATGTTGCTGCGCACAAATGTAAACACGAAGCGTTTCATTAATCACTTCTCTATGAGTCGCGAATGACATTAAGTGACTTCTCATTTAAATTTTTGTACGGAAATTGCCGGAGTAGGAAGGAATTTTTTATGAGTTTCCTTTGTTTAATTAATAAGATTTCAATTTGCATTGCTTTGATTGAAAAATGTGGAAGCTTTGATTGAGTTAACTGTGTGAAGAAAGAAATATATAGAGATTATAAATATAGAGAGAGAATATGTATATATGTATACGTAATACATATAAAAAGAGAAATAGAGAGCTATGGAAGAATATCTTTATTAAAGAAAATAGATAAAAAATGTAGATTTGTGAACAATTTTTTTATAGTGATATCAAATGAAAAAACAATGTACTTTTATACTTATTGCATGTTTTGCAATATACTTTTTTGTTGTAATGAAGTGGAGAGAGATGAACTTTTACAATAAACGCAGTGCTCAGTGATCATTAGCCGCACTGTGTAGCAATAAGAGGAAACGTCGGCTTCATAAAGGCGCGCCGGCACATTCACTCTGTGCAATCGTGTATTCTTCTTTAATGTAGTTCATTTGATCGTGTGACTGTACCGATGTACACGCCGCTTTCGCAGGATAGACTCGTTATATTTTTAAATTACCCACGACTTGGCGAACTGGCCATTGCGAGCTTCGCGCAGCACGTGCAATACGCTGTCGCTCTTTCTGCGCAGAATGAATTTTTCTCCGCGTAAACAAAGCGCACCGCGACATGAATCAACGACAATGACTATCACATATTCTAAAGCTATTTTTAGAAGACATGCGTAGAGGATATTTCATGCAATTTCGGAAAATTTTCGGTCACCCGTTAACGCATTCTGCTGTAATAACTCGATCGAGTTTGGTGAATTTCTTTAACAAATATAAAAATTATTTCACATACGAATGCTGCTTTTGTATAACGAAATCTTTTACCACGAAATCCCGACACAATAATATTTGAATGTGAACGCGAGCAATTTTACTCATTGAATCAAGTTTTTTATCGCGAAGATTGTTTATAATTTTACATTTAATTTGTAGTTCAGAGGTGCGTCAGAGTCGGATAAATAATAATTTCTCCATGAAATTGTGCTCGCGATCAACAAGAAAGGAAAGTTTATCGACGCGATAAGTTATCAGTAGCACCATTTTGTAGATTAGGTCATCGTCTTGTCTGGATATACAAAGATGAGACTGATGACCTCGTGAAATGATCGCTCAATTCGACCTGAATTTCGTGGAATTTGCTTTCGCACTCTCCCACGTGTTCATTGAGTCGTTGCACGCGCGTAATCTCTCTCTGCTTGTTGTTTCCACTTACACGTGTCTTCCTCCTTTAAATAGACAGTCTGTCGCGGAGGTTCTTACACTTTTTCACGACTTATCTCTATCGCGCGGATGCGGTGGACAATTTTGATACGCGTAGGCGTTATTGACGCTTCTGGTTAATTGGTATATCTGCGCCGCTCATTCGAACAGATAAATTATTATCGTTTCGGGAAATACAAGTGTAATAGCATTTTTTTCTGAAGATATGTAAGATAAATGCACGCGCTCGTTCCATGACGGTGAAATTATCTTTTGTTTTTAAACAAAGCGAGGGAAAGATATTTATAATTTTGTGTAATTTTTTTCTAAAATATAATTAGGAGTGCTCTCTCGCGAAAGCTAATACAAAAAATCTCACGGAGCCATTTTTCATCAGAAATTCCTCGATTCTCATAAAATCAATTTTTTCGACGGAAGCGTTGCGAGATGAGGTTTCTTTTCTTCGGGCAGTAGAATCTGCGCATCGATATGATGTAAGGATGCAACGCATATCAGCGTTACGCTTTAGGAAAGCGATGTAAGATGCGAGGAACTTTCCATTGTTGTTCAGTCTGTACACGCGACGTATGAAAGCCTGGAAGTGTGTCTCGTATGGTACTTCTGCTGGAGATAAGTGATAAGGAGATATATTTTTTACCTGCGTTAGATTCGATGTGTAACAAGTCAACTGAGTCGAGCTCAATTAATTATTTACAATTAGATATCCAGCTCATCTTTGGTAAAGAGTTCTGATCGCGGGCGAATTAATAGTCTAATTTCCAATAAATTAAATTATTTGTACTAATTGATCATCATTACATTCGCATCGTTGTGATGCGCGATATCTGCGCGATGACAACGTAAGCGAGAGAAACGAAAAGGAGATCATTAATTGCAGATAATGAAAGCCAAATGATTGATATCCAGAAATCACGAGACAATTACGCGTTATTTCGATGATTTTGACAGAAGATGGAGTCCGTCCGCGAGACTGGCAACCTCGAAGATCGCGTTGCAAAGTACCCTTGAGACTGCTGCGATTATGCACGCTGGTGATATTCCTGCCGTCCATTCTGATCACTGGGCCGATGTACTTGCGGTACTATGTGTACTCTGAACAGTTGTATCCTTTGGCAGTGTCGGATCAAAGGCTGATCGACGCCAGAACATCGACTGTTTGGTGCCAAGTAAGATATTTCACCTTTAACGTTTCCCTCTCCAGGAGTCTCCTTCATTTTCACGATCAGTTTTCGGTGTCAATTTTTGGAGTGATTAAACCGGTAAATAATTATAAAAATAGGATAAAAAATAATATTACAAATGAAATAAGATTGTAAAATTCTCCATTTTCGATTTCGTCGCGATTACTGCTTATTCTATTATCATAGGTTATCACAATTATTTTTTCTTGCATCTCAGTTCTCTTTTTGAAGAAGGAATAATAGAATGAAACGGAAATCGCTTCCTGTTAATAGAGTCAATTGATCAAAGCTAATGCCACATTCAACGCGTATTTGATGAGCGGCGAGCCGGCGGTGCAGAGCGAAGCGATGCCCGTTTCAATGACACGGCACCTGATCCTGGAGGACGACATGAAGGAGTACTGGGGATTTTATCTGCTGCGCGGTAGCAGCGTCACCGTCTCGACCTGTGTAAGGTAGAATCGTGGAAATGCGAATTTTCACTTCGATATATGTAGGCAGATGAATCGCAATGTTTCTCCAATTCGGGACGAGTTCCCCGATTAGAATTTATACTAATATTAGCGCGCCGACAGTGACTGCCTGTATGGCAAATAAATTTATTAATTTCACATTAATTATACGATCGATTTACTGGTTTCCATCTGTCGTAGATGGCCAGGTGCTTCTTTAACAATAATTCGTGGACACAAGCATCTGCACGAGTGCGCCTTCATCGGAGACGACAGCAGCGAGGAGCTTGAGGAGCTTCTTGAGGTCGCTCAGGAACAAAAACTTCTTATAATAAACGGCACGACAGAAGTGCGTCTCTTCTTTCTCATCCGTCATGATTCGTACTTATTTTAATTTGTACTTATTTTAATTGTGATCTTTATGCGCTCTTTACGAGATATAAAGCAGAATTGATAAAAAATTGACAGAGAAAAATCACCTCATATAATAAATTTTTTTGTGAACATCACTATTAGTTATTAAAAAAGGCACCAATTGGTTGAACTTTTCAATCTTTTCAATTTTTTCGATCACAATAAAACAAGTAATATATAAGTATATGCAATTTAATTATTTCGTGTGCAAAACGCATTAATCTCTTCCTCAATTGTCTTGCACAGGCGATGGGTCTCAGCAATATACCTGAAAAAATGAAACGAGCAGGCCAAGACGTACACTTTCATCATGAGGGCAGTGCTCAGCGCTCGAACATTTCCGAATCAATCGGATATTCGCATCAACCGGGCGGTAGTCACGAGTTAGATGCTAAAGCGATGCGAAATATACTCACTCAGATCCTCGCCAAGACTCTCGATATGAAGAAGAAGAAAGACCATCCGCATCACCATTACAAGAGTGTGTTCCGGGAGTCCGCCAATATTGACAAATTTGACAAATCAACAACGACTACCACCGCAGAACACTCTGAGATTTCACCGGGTCAGCCTCCTCCTCCTCCTCCTCTTCCTCCTCTGCAAAAGTCTATAAGCAGATTTGTTAATCATAAAGAGACATCGAAAAGTAGCACAGAGTGCGTTATTGTCTTTAATAGTTCAAAATGTTCTAATAGTATATCTAATATATAATAGTATATTTTTAACAGAAGTGCTTTCGCGCTTTCCGACTCTTTTTTCTTTTGTTTAGCAAATTTGACAACTACTTACTTAAACAATCATTGAGTTTTTTCTTAATTTCGCAAAGTTTTTATTAATTTCTACCAACCAATTTTTGTTTATTTCTTCTTCTTTATTAAACGAAAATCGCGTTTGCACTCTTCAGATCCAAGTCTGCATCTTCGAGTGTATCGGTTTCTACCGAGAAAAAGTTGTCGGAAGAGAAAGAAGAAAATAGACGCCGCCATGAAGGACTCGAGGCTCAGAAGATTTCCACATTTTCTTCTTTTCCTACGCCTCTCAATACTCATCAAGATTCGACAATATCTAACGAGCGAACGGAAACCATCACGGCACAGGAAACTGTGAAAGAGCGAATGGAGTCGGAAAACGAACAGATGGACTCGGTGGAGATGTTTCAAGACGTTCTGAGGAAAATCAGTTCCTTGGGCAATCGCGGCAGACAGATGCTGCGCAAATTGATGGATGAGATCGACGCACAGGGTGTCGAGGGTGACGCCCTGAGACGGCTGGTGAACGAGACGATGCATGATGAGAGATTATCGAGCACGGCTAAGCGCAGACAAAGAAGGGACCTGGTTCTCTTATCACCGCTTTATCGGGATTTAACTTGGGAAGATGAGAACGACGACGCGCCATTAGAAGAGGTCAGTTTCTCATTTCTTATTCTGATTCCATTTCTTTTAAATATTTTAACCCTTTAACTACGGGAATAATTATAAAAATCCTGCAATATAAAACTAAGTAAAATTATAAAATTATTTTACAAAATTATAAAATCGCTTATTGACGACAGCAGTGTTTTAGGAAAATTCCATTTCGTCGTCTATTGACTACAGCCATAGTTAAAAGGTTACACAGATCATATCACACAGATCAGATGATAAGAAACTTGAGTCTAGAAATTTTAAACGGATAACAAGAAAAAGAGAGGGAGAGAGAAATAAGAGAGATGAGTGAAATATGTTGTTTTTCAGGGTATGTTGCGTCCGGACGGAATCGCGGAGGATCGAGGTACCGTGAACGAGACGGACTTAAACGACAGGAGCAACTCCGAGTTCTGGAGCTCGTTTAGCAGCTCGGAGGAGCGGCTGTTAGAGTGTAAGGGTCTTATCTTGAACTTACCACTAACTCCGCATCGCCAGTGCACCCCTAAACATGAAAATCACCACATTACGGCCTCCCTCGCCAACACTGTAACGTACAAGTAGGCGTACTTTTATATGTAATTATGTTCGTTAATTAATTTCTCTTCTTCGATTGTAAGATAAGAAGTATCCTCTTTAGCGTAATATTTACGTAACTTAATGCATTTCCGCGCTGATTTTCACTAATTGAGTAAAGCCGAGTTGCAAGATACTGAGGCATATATCTTTAAAAACGTTTTTATTGATTGCGTTGAAGGCTTGTGAAAGTTTATCGGATTTTTAAACAAATTCCTTTTATCTGCAATAATAAAATAATGTAATGCTCCATTAAAGCATTTGCGATTGTATCTGACTCTACTTTCTAGTATCTGATGCTTCAGTATTCTAACTGATTCGGTTATCATATGATCGTTTATCGGTGATCTGAACAACGTCAAACGCGTATCTAACAATGTATCTAAATAATTGTGCCTAATCGCACGTCTGTATGATTCGTGATAACATTGTTACATAATTCGGTCGTAGAGTACCCCTAAACGGTTATTACTTCTTCGTGTTTAATTCGGAGAACGAGGTCCAACCGAATTATGTGAGGGTGCAGTTCAACCTGCTGAAGACCGTTTACAACACCTCGAATTCGGTGCGCTCCTGCAAGAACAGCACGAAGGAGTGCTCATTGCCGTTCAATATCTTCAGCAACGAGAGAACGATACTTGAGGTGCCGTTGAACGGCAACGATTCACAATGGAACGAGGAGTACATGGTGGTGTCCACGTGCGTGCCGCGAACGATGATTTATTTCATTTGCGTCATCATGGTGCCTCTGTTGATCCTCTGCTTCGCCTTTCATTAGAAGATTGAGTCACCGATGCAGTATTTTCTTGATAAGATGTACTGATAAGATCGTTAACGTGACAAGGCCGTGTTCGGAAGCGAGGCCGACTCGAATTCAATTAGCGTGTGTAAGTACTCGACAGTTTACTTGATATAAATTCATGTTGCAAGAGAGATGATGGTTTCGAGATATCCCGTATTACAGCAGGTGATTCAATGAACATTAACTAAGTTGACGTGAACCTCAGACTTAATAATCTTGAGTCATAACAGATCGATCAAAAGACGAAAGCTCAAGCTGTAGTGAAGTATGTCTAATAATCACATATTTATTAGATTCGCCTATGTTTTGGTGATACAAGATCTCAAAGAGCTCTGAGATTGTGATTGTATTTCCAATGATTCTTACTAGTTGTAAATATTTTTAATCTGTTTTTAGTCTATATTTTCAATTTGCGAATTTACGCTTTAAGCGGTACAAAGTCGTGATGCATTCAGAGTGAGATATTATTCCTAATGTGATATGCAATTTCGGCGCTGAAATTCACCGTCAAGACAAACATCCGCGAGCGATGCGCGACACGATTCATTGTAACAATGTAATATACATGTTGTTAGGCGACGCAATCAATTTTTGGATTGTGTATGTGCGAATAAAACGATCTGTCAAACGATTTCATGTGTTGAATTCACTCCGAACATTCTAAGCTCGAGTGAGCAAATATTTTTATGAATATCTCGAAATTGATAAGCGATAATGGCATGATGATAAGAAATATATGGACATTTCCAAACTGCGGAGCAATACTTTGTCATTTCGGTATGACTTCAAATATATTTGGATATTTTGAGATATTGTCAGCTCAAAGAAGCCTGCCTGGCTTCTTTGTTATCTGTTGGATATTAATCGATTAATCAAAATTAAATTAATCAAATTTTAATACGAATAGAATTAATCAAACTTTAATACGATCGATCATGCGCTGATTAATAATTAATTTCATTAATCGATTACATATATGACAATTAATTAATTTTGATTATTGATTCACCGCTTACTCGAGCCAACGAAAACTTTCATCGAGTAATGCCCAACGCTGTCTGGAAGTCGTCGAGCGTAGTTGTCTCGGAGGAGCTGTCTCTTGGAGCCAAACGTTGCAATTGATTTCTTTTTTCTCTTCATACAAGCAGCGATTTAACTCTGCGCTGTTGTCCCGTACGGTGGTGCGCAGCGAGGAGGTTAATTCACATTTCTAAGCAACTCACGTGAACGCACATATTATAAATACGCGTTGCGATGATCGATATGTCAGCGGGCGCGAGTGCCACACGTGGAAAACAAACACTAATAATGGGATTAGTGCGGGGCGGCTGGTTGACGGCGATAACGAAAATTGATTTCACCCTTCGCACTCGACCCCGCCGCGGCACGGGGATGCTCCATTCGAGCGCGTTGACGTTCATGGGACGCTGCGCAAAACCAGCGACACGCCTCTCTCTCTCTTTCTCTCTCTCTCTCTCTCTCTCTCTCTCTCTTTCTCTTTCTCTCTCTCTGTTTCTCTCTGCCGTCGTCGGCACATACCCAGGCGAAATCTCGATACCCCTGGTAGAACACTGGTTCGACCTGTTCAAAAATTGATTTCACCCCGTCGGTGTAGTTGGAAACCATTCTGTCGAGTAAACACGTTATGCTGAAAGAAATATCGTGAAAATAATCATTCGACAAACGGAATCCCGTATCAGGTTTTAAGGAATATTCACAGGGTGTTCGGAGAAGTTAGAGAGTCTTTTGATTTTATGATGGGAGATAGTGTAATATACTACTCGAGATTTTGTTACGAGCGCGGTTTCTAAATTGCCTCGAACGAAACTCCTCTTGGAAAGTGGAATGATTCGTTTGACTTCCGATGACTTTTCACTCGTATAAAGTGAATTTCTTCACTCCGAATTGTCGAGTGAATAGTCGAGTGAATTGTCGAGTGTATCTGATGTTTGCATCGAGAAAGTCAATGAGTATGCTATCATTACACCTTGACTGAAATTTGACCATTTACTTACTTATCTGCGCCTTAAAGAATGGCGGTTGCTGGGACTACTCTTTGCTACGCTAAAAGTGAAAGATTTCTTTTCATTGCTTGAATCCTTGAGTCGTGACACGAGACTTGCCGGGTGAGAAAACCGTGCTACGACGGCGGCTTACGGCAAGATGATTATTCAACGACGACACTCGTGTACAAGTGAAAGTGCCGCCGAGATTTCGGGTTGGTAGGTGGCTATTGAAACGAGAGGAGAGACGGAGGCTGCGCGAGTGTTCACCGCTGATAAGGGACGCTCCGCCCTCCCAACCCTCTCGCGGCAGTCACTACGGCCGGCGTCCTCACGGTCGTAGAATCGCAGGGTCAAGTTGTCGGAGGGCCCGGGCAACGGTATGAAGTATTAATCTCGCGGATTAAACGGACAAATCGACGGGAGATTAATTTTTAAGGTGCCGTAAAGTGACGAGAGGATCACCCCGACGCTTAATTAACAGTCACGCTACATAGACTTGCAATTAATCCGCATCTTTTCCCCGGCGGGTTTTTCGACTCGGTCTCGGGCCTCGTTGATTCTGTCAGATTAAAACGACTATTGAACGTTTTTATCGGTCGCTATACTTGTCATTGTTGCCGAGGAGAATTTTTCTCCAGGCAGTTTACACGATTATCAGATCGTGCAAATTTGCTCGCGAGCATATTTGCAATATGCGACGCCTCCGGAACGAGAAAATTATAACAGCGCATTTCTATCGCGAATGCATAAATCTTCCTAAAAAGCCGCTTGGCATTAATGATTTCCCGGATTTTTATCAGAAAATCGACACAGGCCCGAGGGACCGCGATAAGAGCCACGCGCGAGTCAATTTCGTGCGGTGGCGATACATTAATACCTTATTCTTATTCATTGGCACGCGCAAATTGGGTCGCGAGTTGCCAGGCCTGTGGGAAACCGCCGCGAAACATCCCCCATAAAATTCGACGAGGCGCTCGACCTCGGGGGTTGCTTTTTATTGATTCCCGCAATGGACCTGTGATGGTGACGGCGATTTTTCAGAATCTTTCGACGTACGCAATAATCGCTTACCCTATTATCCTCGATCTCAACTCAAAACTGGTAATGGAAACTCTTATTATTATTAGTATTTATTCACTGAGAGAAATGGTGAATGACACTATACTCGTCTTATGAAAGTAATGTAGTGAATTTACATCTGATTCACATATGAAACCTACCTAGTTTTCTGTATATTTCTCAATATTCTGATTACGATGTCTCAACGCATCTGGTAGTCAATAAAGGTAATTCTCTCTAGACGTATGATACTATTGTCGCGATAATTAATTGTTATTCGCTGCGACGTTTCCTTTTTCATCTATACTAATTTGTAAAGACGTCGGTGCTATAAAAGAATATATAAAAGAGTAGACGCTGAAACCGTTAGATATTTGGAAGAGTGAAATTTTTAAAAATGTGTCGACAAATTTAGAAGTAAATATATGAAGATTATATACAGTAAGTATATGAAAATTATATATATAATATGGTTAGATTTTAGGTTAGGTTTTATTATTTCAATTATCAATTGTATGCTGTACCAAACGATTTGGTAAACGTATTTAAGCATCATTGTAATGCTACTTAGACAATGCGCTCGCCAGATAGTTTGGTATCATTGACTAAATATCTTGTTACACGATTATTCACCATACTGTTTGGTAAATCTAAATAGAATTCTGGTTAGTATCATCAGACATTTTCCTCAGTGTCTTGTTATTAATTATTAGCTCATTAAATTTACGCACAAAGCAGAATTTGTCTTTGAAATTTATTGTGAAACATGTCGACTATATCACGACGGAGAGACGCACAATATGTAAGGGGTGATGCATTCACGATGACTTTTCCCAAACAATCAACTTTCGATTAGCTGACCGAGTCCCCGCGACTCGAGGAGCGTAGAGAGAAAAAAACACGAAGCCCCTGCTTAGTATACATTAAGGGTGAGAGAGCGGCTACCCCCTGTCGTCAAGTGGCCACCGGCTACGGCTTGTTTTATTGTGACACCTCGGGAGGGTGCCATGGATTTTCCAGCAGGATGCGCCGGGGTGTCATCGTCGGAGGCCGATTAGACGATCGTATCGTCGCTAGTGCTCATTCGAGCGCCATTACGAGCCAATCTGCGTGGGAGCTGGTCCTGTTTCGGTCGAGCGCGATGTGCACGCGTCGGTGACGCGAAGGAAATCGATGCGACGTGCGTCCACGATCGGTATTTGTAAATTTCGAATTACAAGAAAGAAGGAGAGAGAGAGAGAGAGAGAGAGAGTTCTCGTCGCGTTTGCCTTGATCAACACGTCAAATTCGAGTCGCTCAAAGATATATGCTAAAAAAGTGTAACACAGATATTTATTTATTTTTTTTTTTAATAAAGTTCTATCGTTCATCTTTTCTCTAAAAGTCGCCCATCGTGACTTATCGCGAACCACATGAACTCGCTTCATCCGCGGCGACAATAGTCGGATAACAGTAGTGATAAGATATGGCGCGACTTGACACGCATTACTCTTCGCAGGATCTATCTTTGAAGCACATGGCAATGAGTCGAAGCAGGAAGAGGGTGGTGACAGATCCAGCTTCCTCGCGTGTGCACGTGTACATATGCGCGCGTGTGAGATAACGAGGAAAATTCCACAGCTTCTGCACCGTTTCAGCGTATCAAGCTGAGAGGAGATCGGTGGAATTTATAAATATTAATTTATAAATTTTTCGCGCTCGACCGAATTTACAATTATATGTATATATCCCGAGTTCATTTCGAAACTATTAAACACAGACATTATTTAACGCGCGTGAAAAGATCGGCGAGACGCTTTCGAAATTATTTAATGTCACTGATGCAAAACTCCTCCCAATGTATATATCGGCACCTTAATCTACCCGAATAAAAGGCGCATAAAGGTCACGTGCGTTACCCTCTATCGTCAACGCGTGTCTCGCCGTACCGTGGGCAAACTTTTTTTTATATCGCCCACCGTTCCATCATGAACACGAAAATCGATTGTAATTTAACAGCGAAATAAATTTTACAGTCTAATATTTCCAGTTCTTCAACTTGCACAGTTTAAAGTTCCTGAACCGATATTTACAAATAAACCTTTATTAATTTAATAAAATCTAAAAAATTCGAATCTTCTTAAATCTTCTCGTTCACATAATTTCAGACGTTTTTAGTTCACGGCATTCAAATATTCTTGCACTTATGTTTGTTAAAAAATCCTCTTTTGCTCTGTTCGCATACTCGTGGTACTTAATCACTCGCATTATGTCTCACCTAATTCTTTTTTTAATCTATTTGGTCACGCAAGATCGTCAATCGTAAATAAATAATTAGAATCCTCGATATTTAACTTACGTGTAATATGGAGATTGGCGAAATTCAGCAAGTCGAAATTGCATTGACGTATGCGCGACGTCCATGTATTGCAAGATCTCCTGATCGAGGCGTGGGATCCGAGGATCGATCGGTGCGTGACGGAGCTGGCGAATCCGTGTTTTCACGGGATACATGAAGATGTGATCCCCGAGGAGAGTCGATAGAGGGATGCTGGATGGAGTACCAATGGGACGGACCTGAGACGAGCTCCACCCATAAGCCTGCGCTCCGCCCTCGTGAAATTCATTTACCCGGGGGTTACCCTGGACTTTCTACTAGTCAGATTGGCTCTCTCAACATTGCTGGTTGCTCTACATGACAATCGCGATGCGAGCTGGGTCGTGCTTCGAGTGATTGTCGATCTGTCGTTTAATCGCGCGATACTGTTGGCACTTCTCGCCTTCGGCCGACATGGTGAGCCCCGACCGTTTCGTGCGATCGCGTTAAACTACCCTCCTCAACCCTCTCTCGATTGTGCATGCGTGTGTGTGTGTGTGTATGTGTCTCGCGACATGGTTGCGACCGGTGCAAGCTTTGGTGCGAAAATTCCGCATTTCGCACAGTGTCGTGTCGTCCAGCGCGAAAAGTTTAGCACTGTCTGATCCATTGAAGACTATGCATTGATCGTGCCATTGTTAAACCGCACAATCGTATTGATTTCTTTCAAAGACTTCATATGGGTCAATATCGGAATCGTGAGTTGAGCAGACGGGTGAGGAATCGTATGCCTCATTTTTAGATCATTTGTTCATTTATACCGCAAGTTATTCTGGATAGAAAAATTCTCGAAAAGAATTTTAGAAAGAAAGAGTCTTGTATACTTTCCTTTCTGTCTGGAGAATACGAGCATTTCTGCATGATACTTTGCAGTTAATTTTGGCGAACAATCGTGTGTACAGTTGCAGGATCAGAAGGTATGTCGTTAATGGTGTGCTATGCAGTACCGGTGATTTCATGTGCGAAAAAATCTGCTCGACGTCTCTCGACGTTAACGACGAATTTCATATCATTATCATTTATAATTATTAATTTCAACGCGCGTGGTTTCCCCAAACGCATTCGCTGTCTGCTCGTTGAGCACAGTTGAGTCGAGAAAGCAACGTTACAGCATCGAGCGAATTGAGAGACGCGTGATATTATTGCTGGGAAAAGAGACGAGGGAGAAGAAACGGAAGTGGTTTCTTTTTTTCAGATAAAATACACAAAGCGACGGCAAGTGCGTGCATGACTAATGTCAGTACAAAGATAAACCAAATGGTATATCTGTTGAATGTCAGGGACAGTTGAGTTGAAGACAGCGGATTATCAATTTCCTGGCGGCGCTATGTGGGCTAATTATATCCTGAATCGTCCGCAAGATCCACTCGAAAGGCTTGTTTTATTAGCAGTCATCAATCTCTCACTTAGTATAATATAAATTCCAGCAATAATTAATTATTTGTTCAGAGAGCTCACACACATGATTATTCGCACTGAGAAAAATATATTTGAAAATTTATCTGTCGAATATAACGTTTATTTTTGTGAAAAGAGTTTATTTCTGTAAAATAAATTTTGTATCCCACAAATAAATTTTCATCTATTTTTTACTCAATGTGCTGTCGTCTTAGCGAGTTTTCAGACCTCGAAGTTGCGGACGCAAAACAGCAGTCGTTTACTTGCGATTATAAGCACGATTGATATGTTTAGTTTAGTGCTGCAGTGACATTACCTTAACAATAGAGCTAGAAAACCTTTCAAAGGTATAAGGGCCCATGCTTTACGTCCTGCATGGATGTAGTGACGTTTAGGATTGGTATGTTAAATATTAGGGGATAGTTTGAGAATGAATGACCAGTTCTCGTCAAGAAGTTGTAATTAGGAAATAATAACGGATCAGAGAGGAATTCTTTGGTATTTATTCAGCGATATTTCCTCAATCGTTACAGCCGATGTTAACATACAGCGGCTGCAGCGTCGGGACTGCGGAGACTGAGAATGGTTCCCCGGCGGAGTCGTTGTTGTCCGGCGAAGGAGAGCTCCCGGAGGAAGCCGGCGACTCTCCCGGGACCTCAAGAGACACCGAGGAGGAAGCCACACTCTCCGACGAGTTTTACTCGCATGACACCGACGAGGAGGAGGACCAGAGTAAAAGAAGACGAGACCGTTCCAGCTCCGTGAGTGAACGATATTTTAGCGTACGGAATGACAATTTGCGTCCGATTTTTTGAGCTGTTTCTTGCCGGACTAGAGGTGATTTTAATGGAATTCACGGTAATTCACGTAGCTAGACGGCATCTCACCCTCCGGTAGCGGCCATTTGGGATCGCCGCCACCTCGCGTCGGCACCTTGGGAGTGAGAAAACTGTTTACAAATAGTCGCGAGCGATGGAGACAACAGAATGTGAGCGGCGCCTTCGCCGAGCTTCGCAAATTAGTGCCGACGCATCCGCCAGATAAGAAACTGTCGAAGAATGAGATACTGAGGATGGCGATAAAGTTAGTATTAGTTGTTTGCTTGTAAATGTCAAGTGACAGATATCGATAAGTCTGTCGTAAAAATTCATATAATATCATGTAAAATTCATACTTCTTATCGTTCATATCGTTTCCTAGCATTTTATAAGATTTACGAGAAAATTGATTGACCGATATGTCCGAATTTGAAGATGTCAACACATTATTGACCGATTAGGGGAAAATCCGTGTTTTGTTAGTTGAACGTTGACGGTCTATCCGTAAATTATCTTGTGCTTTGCCGGTTTAAAACAAAGTGGTCGGGCACAAGAGCTGGACATTATTAAATAACGGAATTGATTAACACTGTATGCAAACTCTGAAAGGAAAAGTAGTAGGCAAATGGAGCCGGCGAAAAATAACGAACGTTCATTGATGCTTCAAACAGCCGGTCAACGATATGCTGATAAATCTGATTTTTCGCAGGTACATATCATTATTGAGCAGTGTTCTGGAGTGGCAAAAGGGTCAGGATCGCAACGGGGTGCAACAGCAGGACGTGCGCATCAAGTGCGAGTCCCACTTGAGCAGTCAAAACTCCAGCACGTATCACACGAAGCCGACGGTAGCGTACCTGAAACAGGAGAAGCAGAACCCCGACAACTCGCACGTCTTTCGCGTCAATTACACCACGCAGAGGCACAGCTCGCAACACGTGACATGTGAGAAGAACGGCAGCAACTTGCTGATGATCGCTCCGACTGGTCTCAACGTTTCCGTGGGGAAACGCTGCGTCACACCTTCCGTCATTGTTAGCCAAGGCAGCTTTCATAGGTGAGCTAACTCACTTCTGCTCAAAAGAAGAAATAGAAGGAATCAATAGGCTTTCGAAAAGGTATATTTATAATCATCTCTGTTTAGTCGGATTCTTGTCTCCTTGTAATGGTATCTATCCGTTTTGATTTTTACAAGATGACGAGAATTTATTGCAAGTTAAAGTGTAAGATTTTTTGTCTTATTTGGAAGATACATGTTAAACGTAGATATACGTAGATAACAAAAATAATTTGACGAAGATATTTTAAATCATCAATACATCTGTGATATCGTTGTTTGCAGCAATGGCAACGGAAATCTTGTACGTTCTCCAGCGAGCGGACGAACTTCGGCTTTCCCGAAGTCGCCACAGGTCTCATCGGGTACTAGTATGGTATCTAACGGAAGTTCTTCGTCTTTGATCGGTAACACGCCAATTACGAACGGTGTAGGATCGAATGGGTCGAATTGCGGCCAAAAGAGATTCAAGATCGAGCGGGAAGATGAGGAGCAAGGACCTTCCAGGGACTGTCGAGCTCCACCTCCGCCTGTTCATAGCGTGCCGGTGAGAAAAAGAGTAAAAGTCACTTTCGTGAAAGACTCGGGCTCGGGATTTCGCGGCGATTTGTGTGGCGTAGATCGCAAGTGAAGAAATCGTCGTGATTTTGCTCTTAACAGCGCACGTATACTTTATGTAAATATTTCTTTCATGCTGTATTCGACAATAATTGGTGTTACGTGTAAAATCGGATAATCTGCTCGATACAGAACCTTAATTAATATTGGGTCGAACGTTTCATTTACAATTATTCGAATTCCTCTCGAAGACGCTTCTCAATTCGCGCGCTGAGTTATGCTGCATATCTGTTTAACCCTATATTACATATAATAACGCTCGAATATCGATTTAATAAAAATTCTATCATGTTATAAGAAAGAACCAATTTTACAAGGATGTCGATATGTCACGAACGATTTTCAAAATCTGCAATTCTGCAAAAATCAAATTCAGATAGTCTTAATATCATGGAAGTTTAAAGATAATTTCGTCTTATATTCATTAATCTTTGATTCATATACATTTAAATTCTATAATGCTGGATTTGCTGAAACGTTACATTAATAGATGTGAAAACAGATATTGAAATTTATTGAAATGCGTTCTTCACGGGAGATATATCGCATTAAGAGAAAAATGATCTCTGAGCCTCTCCAACCAAGGAAACTTTGGTCAGAAGAAGATTCGGTTGGTCTCGGCGAACGACAAGCGCAACCGTGCGCGCGATGGAACGTTCTTCAAAGAATATTTTATTACTTATTACGTTGCGTTACATCGTTTGTACAACATTTGAATTGTATCGCAGTTACGCTCGGAACAGTGACATGAAAAACACGGATAGGAAACTCCCAGTTACATGGTTCATTGTAAACCCGTTACAAATGTATTCGCACACGTGTCAGGCTCCTGTGCCCGGATGGGTGTCGAGTTATTGTAGATCTTGTATATATAACAGAATATATATCGAATTCGTCTTTTTATTCGTACATATATCCATTTATCGCGTTTATTCTACGGTGAACACAGCAAACACCTGAACGCTTAACAGTTATCGACAGACAACTCCATCGTATATTTCTCGAGAATCTCGTTCGTTACATATTTTATACTTCGTTAAAGTTCAAAATTCAACGCTCGTCTTCATTTTAATAAACATGACAGACACCGTCCAACACAGAATTGACATCGGATATCGCAGCACATCAATTTTGACACACGTATTTACACTTACGACCATAGTGGGCAAAACGATCGTTTCTTATTTCATTCACGTGAAGAGATAAATATATCTCTGCTCGTACAAGGTAGGAGGCTCTAATTTCGTCTCACGGCCATATCCTGACCTTTCTGGTGGATATTAGAAAGCTTGAAAACTAACCCGAGGAATTGCACATATTATACCGTAACTATAACGGCAATTAAAAAAGATTGTAACTAGCGCGTTTGCGTATCTCATTATACTTGACACGATAAACATATCACAGTAGTAGACAGCTACCAAATTCAGCAGCGAAAGAAAAGAGTTGAAGACATGAAATGCTTACGAGTGTTCTGTAGAATAGACCGAGGCGAATCGGATCACAGGGTGAATCGGATCAATATAAATTCTAAGACAATTATTGTTAATATTTTGTTTTAATTGAGCTGTTTTATCATGCCAGTTACTAACTCATTTAAAACAAAATATTAATAATAACTGTCTTAGAGCTTATATTAATCCGATTCACTTTGTGATGCGATTCGCCTCGGTCTACCCTATTCCGTTTCTTAAAAAACCTTCTCATAAGAGAAACGCTCAGATGAAACCGCAAAGAATTTCCTACCTCGTTGAATTAACACCGGCACAAAGCGTCCAATCGATCAATCTTCCATCGGACTCCACTTCGCACTGACATCTTCCACCTAAGTCGGATTTGTGCCTCTACTTTGTTGACGGAGACTACTCTGAAACCAGGTGGAAGCGACGTCGTTCGTTTCGCGAAACGCTTGCGAGTGTTCCCTACGTCAAGTACACCTTATATCTGGTGCTGTCCCTTTTCTGGCGTTCCGAGGGTAGCTTCTTGGGGACATAATGCTCATCGTTCCACTCGATCGGCGGCACCGGTGTAGCGGGTCGCTCATCGCTCTGGCTGAAGGCTCTTCTCGGCGGCACGTCCAGAATCTTCCGAGTGCTCTTGCATTCCACGCTGCCTCGCTTGGTGAAATTGACGCTGGCGTAGCTGGCGTCACTGGCGCGCGTTTCCCGCTTCGAGAAGTCCACCTCGACGTAGCTGACGCGGGAATCGCGCGATCTCGCGCTCACGTCCGAATTCCGCTTGTTCTCCTTCTCCACTTTTTTAGTGGGCACCTCTGACCGGTCTCTCTTGATCGTCAGTTCCAGCTGACGAGACATGCGAGACTCTCGTCGGGCTTTCTCGTCGTAGTCGTCCGAGTAGGTGCGTCGTTCACGGCCCCGCGTCCGTCCCGTGCCGAGGTCCTCGCTGTAGCGCAACTTGTCGTTGAACTTTCGTAGACGCTCCTCTTGCTGGTCCATAAACACCTCGTCGTGGTTGCCCTTTGCCCTTCGTCTATCCTCTTCATGCTCAACCTTGGATTAAAGAGAGCGATTATGAACCTTTCAATTTCATAAATCTTAACGTTGATCATACATACCTTGAATCTGCTCATTCTGTCGTTGAATTCCAGGTCCTGGCTGTTCCTGCGAACTGGCTGATAGTTGGTCCTCTCCTCCTCGCTGCTGCTCTTGCTGATCCACACGTTTTCTCGCTGAGAGCTTCCCGCTCTCTTCGGCCACTCGTTCTCCGTCTTGAAATCGTACAGGTCTCGCATACGTTGGCTGAGCTTATTTGCTCGGTCGTTAGCATCGACGCAACTCGCGGAACGATCTCTGCCCATATCCAACTCATCTAGAATTAAATATCAAGGTGTCAAAAATCATCGATTAAATCATGGTGAAAGCACATTGAATTCGTGTACAAAAGTTAAAGATAAGAGAAAGAAGAGCCATCGCTTACCTTGCCTCTGTAAATGTCCTTTCTCGCTCTTCGCCGGCGAGAACTTTCTCGGTGGCTGCCATTTAGAGTTATCTAAGTCCTTGCACGGTCCTTCGTCTTCCTTGCGTTCCATGGTGGAATCTTTTCTTTCGGGATTCACTTTCAGCACGGGATCGGGCGACGAATTTTTCGCGAAGGTCATCCACCGATTGGCCGAGCCCTTCGTGACCTCGCAGTCGACTCTCGCGAGAGGGGACGATTCGCGGCGAAACTTCGCGCCGTTGATCTGCGGTATCCACCTGGAGAAGATCAAAGATCCAGGCTCAAGTTCCCGAATCGCAACTTGTTTCAACATACTTTGTGTAAACACGCAAGAACATGTATAAAGATAAAAATTTCGAATATTTGACAAAAGCACACATCAAACATCAACGATTACTCTCGCGCTTTTGTCACAGCTCTTCTCTACGATCAACGATCACGATGAGTGTGACTTGAACAGAGAGATCGCACGCTAAACAACGGGTGACAACGTTAAAGACACCAGCGACTAGTTCTGGTCGTAAGGGCGGCGAACCAGGCACCATTACTCTTTAAATTTTTTGGAGTGGAATTTCACTCGAAGCAATGCTGAAGATATTGTCACTCAAAATCGCAAGAGAGAATGTCTCATCCAAGCTGTCGAATGAATCTTTCATTCAAGTTTAGACTTAGAGGAAATTTTGACTATATGAACAAATGTTTCAATCAATTAGAGTAAATATGTTCCTACGACGGTGGAGAAGACACGAAATTTAATCTTCAATTATGAATTAACCAACCACTCAAATTCGCGTAACTCGGTGGTCATTTAGCTCTTCCAGAGAAATATCACTCCAAGAAATTTAGAAAGTATGTTTTCACCTTGCGTACGACGCTCGTCAACGACTGGCGAGTCCAACCAACACAACGGACATATACATACACGCGTGCACAGGGACCATTGGTTGATATTCATCAACCCTGCGACGAGACGATTGATTGAGACGAGAACACGTCACAGAGGGAAGAGAAAAAGAAATCAGACGAAGGGGACGAGACATCTGACCGAAACTAGACGCCCATTACCCGTTGTAGACTGCGAAACGACTATCGTGATCAATCGCGCCTACTCCGAATCTCAACTACAACCCCGATCATGGCATTTCTCGCTTTTGGACGTGGAAAATGTGCGCGGTCAACCTCGTGGCGATGGTGCGCGGGTCGCTGCAGTCCGTGTGTCTTCGCTGCTCGATGCTGCGCTTGTCGTGACCTCTCAGGGCGGTCACGTCGGTGCTGTGGCTTCTGGTGCCGGGCGGACGCGGTACAGTGAGTTCATGATCGATCCTGATGACGGAGGATCTAAGATCCTCCGAGGATGTGTCGGCCGAGTTCGGCTTGGCTGGCCACCTTTCGATACCCGTTGCCGACTCCTCCACGCTATCCTGTCGCTCATCCCTCGAGGGTCTTTTGTTGCTGCTGGGGCTCATTTGCTGACCCCGAGGCAGGTTCCTCGGTAGCGGCATCCACTTCGAGGTGTCCAGCTTGCTGGCGTCACTGATTTCCGTGTACCGGCGTTCCTCCACGCGACGTTCCGTGTACTTCTTCAGGCAGTCCACGTCCGCGCTGCGGCTACGCTGGCTGCGCGGTGATCGGGATGGTCGTCGAAGCCCGCTGTTGCCCACCGGGCCAACCCTTTCCTGAAGTACCAACGGACAGCGTTCATCGAGAGGCATCAGGTGCTCGGGAGATAATATATTTAGAGGGTTTTGGACGTGGGGTGACTTTGAAATGTTTCAGGAAAGTGCGCTTTTGCAAGGACTACTGGGAACTGTCTCGTGATACATTTGTATTCTAAGTGATTTTCTCTCTTTTCAGTTCTTGCAGGAAGATATACAAGGTGCAGAAAGGAATACGTCCCAGATTCTTACAAAATATGTTTTATTCTCAGATTCTCTAATTAATTTGGAATTAATCGTTCCTCAACGAAAATATCGAGAGATCAATTATTTTTGTATGGTATGTATGTATGTGTCTGTGTTGGAAAAGATCAGTAAATCTAATTATTTTATTTATTAATGGGGTCACGCTTTCAAATCTGTTTCGTTGCCGCTGATATTCGTGCTATTCTGTAAAGTGTATCGCTGTGTCACACAGTCTGTGTAATAATATTCTATTCAGAGCGAGAAGATGTTTTGTATGACGTTGGTATGTTCTCGTTTCAGTAGAGGATTAAGGAGAGGAAATGTCAAAATATTTAATAAATTATACTTTCTATATAATTCATCTTCTCTCTTCTCGATATAAAGTATCTACTAATAAAATACATGCTTCGTATTATCGATAACTTTACTGTCGCTGAACAAATTTCGATGATGGAACAAATACTCCTCGTATTTTCGGTTACAGTAGAGATATATTGTATAGTGTGGAGAGTATATATTTATTCTATTTCAAATGCAAAAAATACAGGGAATCGAAGCGAGTAGTTCGGAAACAAGCAGATCAGTGAAATACATGGAACGTCATTTACGGTTGCTGCGATCACAGAACCGAACTTCATCCAGTAAGGAAGACTGACGTCGATAAGGAAGCGCGTCAGGGTAACTGGTATTACCTAAGTAAGGTGAAGCTTCGCATAATCCGATATGTGCAGAATTCCATGCGCCGCGGATGCGACGTGTAAGCTGGCGCCGCACGTGCGTGGATTGATTTTGGAATTGTGCAGCTCGGTTATTTGACTACTGCACGCCGCCGCTGGATCGCCGCTGGACTCCAGACAACCATTCCAGAATTCATTTCCTGCAAGAAAGAAAATAACTATCCTATATACAGATGTTAAAGAAATATCATATTCTATATATACGGGATGAGAAGTTTAGTAAAACAATTCACGGCACAAATATATCGGCTGCTCCTTATGTTTCATTATTGTTAAAAAAAAAATTCCCTACAGGACTGTTAAATAATATATAATATCAGTAAATAATATATAATATCAGTGTATAATTTCACGCAGACGATAGATAAGCGAATGTCTAAATAAGTAAATATTAAGATGTTGCAGTAAATAAGTAAGTATAGATGGTGTATAATTGAAAATTAATGTTCAAACCTGGCAGAGCGTTTCCGTCCCAGGCATAAGTCACGACGAGGAGTTTGTTCGCGTCGTTACCTCGGATCAGTCTGCTGTGCGGTTCTCTCAGAGCGAAATGAATCTTGATATCTGAAAATGACGTCATCGTCATAAATGTAAGAAAAGAGATTACATTTACACGTCGACCATCTACTAACCGCCGAGATAATCGCCGTTTCCCGCGCCGCCGCACTTCTGTTGTCGGAAATAAGCGAACATAATGTCGGAAACATACTTAAGCTTCTTGTTCATTTTCCTAATCGCAATCTCGAACGTTTTTAGAAAGTAGACTTCTTGATCCTGAATTATTTTCCAGACACCTGCGAATCATCGTCATTTAATTAGATGATTTTTATTTAATTAGCGAATATTCGCAGGAAGATACGAGGAATTTTAATGAGCAATCGACCGAGTAAAATCCGAGAGAAAAGTCACACGCTTTATTAATATTGACGAATCAGGAAATTGGAACATCGTTCTCCTGAACGATCTCGTCTCATCGACCTCTTCGTGTCCATCAAACGCGCATATTATCAAAAATAGAACTGTGTCAAAATTCACGAGCGCTATCATGTGCTTGCACAAGATCATACGACGCGTTTGTTTACGAACTGTTGTGCAATGGGGAAAGATTGTACTAACCCAGGCCGAAACCGACCACGTGCAAGAAAGCAGTAGTGTTCTGCTTTTCGGCGCGGGTGTTTGCTTCGAGCAGTATTATCTCTACGGAGAGTAGAGTTCGCTTCATGTAGTTCTCGATATCGAAGACCGTTTGGCTAGCCAACGATAGGTAACGTCTGTTGTCTTTTGCCTTAACGCGTTTCACAATCTCCTCGTACAGCGGATGGTAATCCTCGCCGTAAAAGTTTGCCCATAAAACACGCATTCCGTGTTTTTCCTCAGCCGTGCCTTCCACCGCGGGCCCGTACCTGTCTCGCATAGATTAATTCTCTCAAGAAATCTCATTCGCGCGCTGCAAAAAAGAACTCGAGGGCGTGCATTAACTTGCGACTATCATTCATCGAGTTTCGGTACATACTCTCGTCAACAAAATTATCGCATAGATAAATTCATGTCGAAATTTCGCACAATTTTAAATGAGCATAATATTGCGAAACATTATCATATTTGAAATCATTTTTTTTATTTTAAAGAGTGAAGTCTGTACTTTAAGGATCATTTATTGAAGTTTGAATTTATTCTCTCCCTTTCCTGCAGTTTAAAAAAAAAAGTGTTACATCTCCAAAAAAAAAAAATGGACAATTTGATGTATCCTACGGGGTGAAATAAATTTTTTCGTAAATTTCATGGTGACTATCGTAAAATATAGACTTTCCCCTGCAATTTAAAAAAAATGGATTTCTATGATTTTTTTCGCGGAATTGCGACATATCAAAGTTATCTATGCATTTTTTTAAATCGCTTAATTTCACGCAATCTACTGAGTGGAATGAATTCTTTTCACAAATCTTACGATAACCTTCGTAAAATATCGACGTTTCCTTGCAAATAAAAAAGTAAAGAAAAGGCGTCCACGACTTTCTTCCGCGATGTTGTATCGAAGTTATCTATGCATTTTTAATCAGTTACCGTCAGCATTAACATTATCTGATGCGCACCACGGGAAGGTTGTTGATCGGATTTTGCGCATCATTCTCTCAATTTTTCTCTCTCAAGCGAACGCCGGCTCTAGAGACTTGCGTTTTAATGCGATAATAATAACAGAGCTTACCCGTTATCGGCGTTGTTCTGCAATGGCGTGATAAGGATATCTTGATATTCCATAACTCGAGGCTTTGCGAATCTACATGTATATACAAATAAGAAATCAAGCACAGTGCACACTGAAAAAAGATGCTCGAAAATTTACTTATAATATACGTAGAATTTTACGTTGAAACTTTATATCTTACAAATAAATTTTCAAGTACTTTTTTCCTAGTATACATTACGTATTTATCTGTAATAATACGCAACATGTGTATACGTATATTCAATTGCAGGAATCGCTTAAGGAAAATTTGATAGTACTATTGCAACAGAAAAAGGAGATATTTTTACTGAAACATTTCAACGTATTTATCGTAGTCTTAATTAGTCAACTTGAAAATTTCTCCCTTTCTCTGTTTCTTTTTGCAACTACAGAGTTGCACGCGAAAGAGGTAAAAATAGAACACGCACGCCGTGACGCCACCGGAACGTCACGGTTCGCACGTGTAAAAATATTCCTGAAGCAGGCGGGGGTAAAATAAATGCATAAAACCTTGTGCCTATGACACCCATAATAACCCCTCGAGGTTGCACGGCGTCTGGGTCACTGCTCACGACGCCTCTGTTCTTTCGCGCGCCGTCGTTTATGAACTCCGTGTGAGACGACACCACCATCATCGCTGATAATTTGATCTCGTCGTAGCTCAGGCATTTCGTTAGGACCTATTTGTCAAATTACGGGGACGTTTATTAAGACGTTGCGGGCTTTCGCCGGCACCACGATGCGCGTGCGTTATATATATATATATATATATATATATATATATATATATATATATATATATATATATATATAT